AGCCCGATCGATAGCGTGAATTGGTACTGTGACTCGGTGAGGGTCGGTGAGGTTGGGCGAGCAGGCAGTCTCGTCAGTAGTTGGCCCAACTTCTACTAACTGCTGGCGTTTCCCGGCCTCTGAGACTCTCGCCCCTGCTCTGTTCCGCGGCGCCTCAGCTCCTCTAGGCATTCACTCTTGCGATGGCCCGGCCTATTGCAAGCAAAGCAGCGCCCCTTAAACGGTGCGGCAGCTGCATTCGTCGCAACGGCGTGTACGGTGGCGTGCTCGATTGGTCCCCGAGGACGTTGTCCGTAGTAGGACCCCGGTCTTGGTCGTCGTAGGATGTCGATTTTCTCGGCGAGCGCGAGGATCTCGTTGAAATTCGAGAGCCCGCGTAGCATGATTTCATGTGAGATGTCCGGCTTTAGCCCTCCAACGGAACGGTCCACCCGCTCCGCTTCGTGCATATAGCCTGTCAAACATATATGATACAGCCTGTGTAGGCTGTAGTGGGGTAGTCATTATGGGGTACAGCTTTTCTAGCTTTTCATACTTGTACCCATCTCCTTTCCTAGTTCATTCATTCCTCGTACTATTCTCACATGGTATAGAGCTGGTTCCCTAGTGGGACCGTTTTTTGTTTAGGGCCCACCACTTATTTTTTTTTTTCCTGCCCTGCCCGAAGCACGCTCCTTGCCCTGTCGCGCGCCTCGCGCCTGCCTTACCTGCGCCACGTGCGCCTACCCTGCTGTCGCGGCCCTGACTAGAGCCGTCGCGGCCCCTGCCGTCGCGGCCCCTGCTGTCGCGGCCCCTGCTGTCGCTACCCCTGCCGCCGCGGCCCCAGCAAACGCGGCCCCTACCGTCGCGGCCCCTGCCGTCGTGGCCCCTGCCGTCGCGGCCCCTGCTGTCGCGGCCCCGGCAGTCGCGGCCCCTACCGTCGCGGCCCCTGCCGTCGTGGCCCTGGCCGTCGCGGCCCCTCCCGTCACGGCCCCTGCCGTCGCGGCCCTGCATTCTGTTGTCCCGGCCCCTGCAGTCGCGGCCCCACCAGTCGCGGCCCCTGCATTCCGCCGTCGCGGCCCCTGCTGTCGCGGCCCCGCCGGTCGCGGCCCCTGAATTCCGCCGTCGCGGCCCCTGCATTCCGCCGTCGCGGCCCCTGCTGTCGCGGCCCCGCCTCCCTGCTGTCGCGGCCCTGCCTGGAGCCGTCGCGGCCCTGCCGCCCTGCTTTCGCAGCCCCGCCTGAAACTGTCGCGGCCCTGCTAGGCAGCTGTCGCGGCCCTACCTGCAGCTGTTGCGACCCTTCCTACCGCAGCAGTCCCAGCCCTGCCTACTGCCGCTGTCGCGGCCCTGCTTACCGCCGCCCTTGGCCGCCCTACCCTGGTAAGCGCACCGCTGCACCCGCGCCGTCCTGCCAAGTCGCGCTGCTCCTACAGCTACTGCTGCTGCTAGGCTACTGCTACTGCTCCTGCTGTCATGGCTAGCCCTAATGTCCTTACCTTTGATGCTGAGGGTCGAGCGGTCGCTTTTGAGGTCTGGGTCGATGATCTGCAGCTTTTTCTGCAGTGTGACTCTAAGGATCTCACTGTTCGACCACACGTCCGGCGTCGCTGTTGCCCCTGCTGCCGATGCTGACAGTACAGTTTGATCACAGTGGACCACACGCGATGCTGCTGCTCGTCTAGCTGTCCGTAGTCACCTGCCGTCTGCTGAGCGTGCGCACTTTAGCTAGTACAAGACCGCTAGGACTCTGTACGACGCTGTTGTTGCGCGCTACTCCTCCCCTGCCACTGCTGCCCTTAGCCGCCTCATGCTGCCATACCTATTCCCTGACCTCGCTGCTTTTGCCACGGTCGCTGACCTCATTACGCACCTCCGCACTAGTGACACCCGCTACCGCGCTGCGCTTCCTACCGAGTTATGCGCCGCGAACCCCCCCCCTATGTACATCACTCTCTACTACCTCGTCACCCAGCTCCCTGACTCCCTTCGCTCGGTCAGGGACCACTTCCTCTCCCTTTGCCCCACCACGCTCACCGTTGACCTCCTCGAGGAGCGCCTCCTTGCAGCAGAGACGAGTATAGTTGCTGTAGGAGCCTCTCGTGGTGACCCTCGTGCCCCTTTCTTTGAGGGGTGCTCCCCCGTCCCTCTTTTGCCCTTTGTGGCCTCTGCTACTGCTGTCGGCCTCGTTGGCACCGAGTCGGTCGGAGCTGCGTCTGCTCCTAGTGGGAGGCGCCGCAGCGGCAGGAGCAAGTGGGGCAAGGGTGCTGGAGGGGATGGCGGGGGCGGTGGTGGTGGCGGTGGAGGCGGTGGAGGGGGTGGGGGTGGAGGTGGGGGTGGTGGCGGGAGTGGGGGCTTCGGTAGCGGTGGTGGAGGTGGAGGCGGCGGAGGCAGCGGCAGTGGGGGTGGAGGTGGCGGCGGCGGCGGCGGAGGCGGTGGGGGTGGCGGCGGCGGTGGTGCTGGTCCAGGTGGCGCTGTGCAGCGAGGAGGCTTTGGCAGTGGCTAGCACCAGCAGCAGCAGCGCCCTCGTGCGACCCTGTCGTGAGTGGTACGCTGGGCATGGGAGGTCTGGGGGTGCTGATCCCTGCACTTACGTTCTCCGCACCGGCGACCGCAGTGGAGAGACATGCGGCGGCCCGCACGCCACGCTCCGCTGTTTCGGCCGCCTGACTGACGCCTGGTGTACACAGTTTCCTGACGCCACTGAGGTCCCTCACTGGGGTGATCTGCTTAAGTCGGGGGTTGCTCTCTTTGATCTTGATTATGATGCTATCCTTGCTGCTATGTATGCTGTGTCTATTAGTGCTGAGGGTGACTGTTGCCTGTGTGTTCCGCCCGACCCGGGCATTGAGGCTGCTGCTCTAGGTGCTAGTGAGTCTGCTGCTCCAGGTGCTGGTGAGGCTGCTCTCTCAGGTACCGCGTCGGCTCAGGTCTTGGACACTTTCACCCTTGACTCGGGTGCTTCCCGCTCCTTCTTTCGCGACTACACCACACTCTCACCGCTCAGTCGGCCGGTGGCAGTCTCTCTGGCTGACCCCTCTGGGGGTCCGGTCCTTGCACACTCCTCCACGGTTCTGCCGTGTCCGACGGTCCCGTCTGGCTCTTTGTCTGGCCTCCACCTCCCCTCGTTCTCCACGAACTTGGTGAGTGGAGCTGACCTTCAGGATGAGTGGGTTGACCAGTTCACTCCTGGAGGTCAGCGGGTGACCCACTGTTCGTGTACTCGGACGGGCCGGCACCTGGCCACGTTCACTCGTCAGCCTGGGTCGAGCCTGTACACCCTGACTACCGTGCCTCCTCCAGTTGCTGAGTCTGGTCAGGTAGCCGCGTCGGGTCAGGTGTTTGCTGCAGCGTCCAGGTCTGGTCCTGAGTCTGCCCCCTGCTCGTGTCGCCTCCTGTCTCACCAGACTCTCCTCTGGCACCACCGCCTTGGTCACCCCTCCCTGCCTCGTCTCCGAGGCATGGCCTCCCGTGTCCTTGTCACTGGTCTTCCCCGGTCTCTCCCTCCCCTCCCCCCGGGGCCTGCCCCTACCTGCGTTCCTTGCGTCGAGGGGCGGCAGCGCGCCGCTCCTCACTCCTCCGATTTCCCTCCGACGGAGGCTCCCCTGCAGACTCTTCACATGGACGTGTGGGGCCCCGCCCGCGTCCGTGGACAGGGTCACGAGCGCTACTTTCTGCTGGTCGTTGACGACTACTCGCGTTACACCACAGTCTTCCCCTTGTGCCGCAAGGGTGAGGTCACTGAGGTGCTGATCAATTGGATCCGCGCTGCTCGTCGTCAGCTCAGCGAGAGTTTCGGCTCGGACCTTCCTGTTCTGCGTCTGCACTCTGACAGAGGTGGAGAGTTTTCCTCTGACCTTCTGAGGGCATTCTGTTGTGCGGAGGGCATCCGCCAGACGTTCACGCTTTCGGCCTCTCCACAGCAAAATGGGATTGCTGAGCGCCGCATTAGTCTGGGGGTGCTGAGTTTGGGGGTGCTGAGTCTGGGGGTGCTGAGCCTGGGGTTGCTGAGTCTGGGGGTGCGGAGCCTGAGGGTGCTGAGCCTGCGCGTGTGGAGTCTGGAGGTGCTGCACCTGGGGGTCCTTCGGGTGCTCGTCCCGGCGGGAGCCACTCTCTCCACAGCAGCTGCACGAATGGTTTGCTCGCCGCTGGAGCCGTGCTGCTGGTGTTAGAATCTTAGGTGAGAATCATTGACTAGGAAAAGGGAAGGGGTACAAGTAGAATGTCGAGAGAAACTTTGTACCCCCTAAGGCTAAACCCACTATAGCCTAGACAACTATAAACACATAAACTAAGCCTAGATATAACTAGGCATATATGTTTGACACACCCCCATAGGCGAAGTGGGGGATAGCCAGAACAAGCAATGGTCACAAGACCAGTCAAGAGAAGAAGCAAAGCAAAGCAAGCTCAGGGTGGATCACAAAGTCACCACACAGTCCGAGCACAAGCAAAGGGCCACAAGGCCAGTTCACATGCAGAGTTATATAAAGAGAACAAACAATACAGTGATCATACCCTAACAAGTGCAAGCATGCAGGTATATAGATAGATCACAGTACAGGCAGAGCTAGGGGCATTCACAAAGGGCAAGTGAAGAGGAGGCTGGACTGTGAGAGGAGAGGAGATAGGAGGCGACTGCTGATGCTGCAGACACACGGGCAACAGGAGCGGCGCGCACTGTGGCTACCGGGGCCGTATCCCCGGACTACAGGAGTAACTGGCTCTGCGGCTAACTCTGAGCGGTAGGAGCAACGGACCCACAGGCGACTGGCGCAGCAGGCTCGCTGGGCTACCGGAGATTGTAGCCTCCGGACTACTGGCGCTGCTGGCGACACAACGGCTACCTCCGCTCAACCTCCCCCATAACTGTCCCACCCCCCTTTCACACACCCCTTGCTGCACCCCTAGCTCCACTCCCACGTCACCCCCCTAGCATCACTCCCTCGGCTCCCACACACCCACCCCCCTCAGCGGCAGCTGCAGCAGTGGGAGACGAAGGTGGAGGAGGAGGAGGGGATGGTTCACACACCCGCCACCCCCATACCCGCCACCCCGCAGTTGCACCCACACCCGCCACCCCCATACCCCCCCCCACTGCTGCACCTGCAGCAGGGGAAGGAAGAAGAAGGGAGGGGGGGGGGGGGGGGGGGCTGTGCATGGCGCGTGCAGAGGGCAGCAGGGCGCGCACAGGGCAGCAGGGCAGCAGGGCGCGCAGGGCGCAGCAGGGCTGCAGGGCGCGCGGGGCTGCAGGGCAGCAGGACAGCAGGGCGCATAGGGCGCGCAGGGCTGCAGGGCGCGCGGGGCGCGCAGGGCTGCAGTGCGCGCAGGGCGCGCAGGGCTGCAGTGCGCGCAGGGCGCGCAGGGCAGCAGGACAGCAGGGCTGCAGGGCGCACGGGGCGCAGCAGGGCTGCAGGGCGCGCTGGGCGCGCAGGGCAGCAGCAAGGGATGTAGCGGCAACAGCAAGGGCTGTAGCGGCAGCAGCAGGGCAGCAGGGCGCACAGGGCTGCAGGGCAGCAGGGCGCGCGGGGCGCGCAGGGCTGCAGGGCTTGCGGGGCGCACAGGGCTGCAGGGCGCGCGGGGCGCACAGGGCAGCAGGACAGCAGGGCGCGCAGGGCTGCAGTGCGCGCAGGGCGCGCAGGACAGCAGGGCGCGCAGGGCGCAGCAGGGCTGCAGGGCGCGCGGGGCGCACAGGGCTGCAGGGCGGCACAGGGCTGCAGATCCCCTCCCCCCACCGCTGCACCCGCAGCAGGGGGATGGAGGAGAAGTGGGGGGGGGGGGGGGGGGGGGTGGGGGGGGGCTGGGGCTGCAACTCCCCTCCCCCCCCACTGCTGCTGCAGATCCCCTTCCCCCACTGCTGCACCCGCAGCAGGGGTGGAGGAGAAAAGGGGGGGGGGGGGGGGGGGGGGGGCTGATGCTGCAACTCCCCTCCCACCCCACTGCTGCTGCAGATCCCCTCCCCCCACTGCTGCACCCGCAGCAGGGGTGGAGGAGAAAAGGGGGGGGGGGGGGGCTGATGCTGCAAATCCCCTCCCCCCACTGCTGATGCAGATCCCCTCCCCCCCACTGCTGCACCCGCAGCAAGGGTGGAGGAGAAGGGGGGGGGGGGGCTGGTGCTGCAGGTCCCCTCCCCCCACTGCTGCATCCGCAGCAGGGGGATGGCAGATCCCTTCCCCCCCACTGCGGCACCCGCAGCAGGGGGAGGTAGGAGAAGGATGAAGGGGGGGGGGGGGGGGGCTGCTGCCGCAGGGGGAGGTAGGAGAAGGGGCGGTGCAGGAGCCGCTCGGGCGACAGCAGGGTGGCCACACCCGCCACCCCCATACCCTCCCCCCCACTGCTGCACCCGCAGCAGAGAGATGGAGGAGAAGGGGGGGGGCGGGGGGGGGGGGGGGGGGGGGGGGGCAGGTGCTGCAGGTCCCCTCCCCCCCTCTGCTGCTCCCGCAGCAGGGGGAGGTAGGAGAAAGGTGGGGGACCTGGTGCTGCAGATCTCCTCCTGCCTCCCCCTGAACCTCCAAGTTTCCTCCCCCTCTCCCCGCCATCCCCATGGAGGGGGGGGAGGGGGGCGGGGGCGGAGCTGCGATTGCGACTGAAGGGCACGCGGGCAGGAGGAACCCCCTCTTGCCACCCCCTCACCCACCATGGCGCAACAGGGCACCGGGGCCGCGGTTAGGGGCGGCAGGTCGCGAGGGGCCATGGCTAGGGGCGACGGGGCCATGGCTAGGGACGGGGCCGGGCGCTGGGCAGGTACGGGGCCGAGCGCTGGGCAGGAACGGGGCCGGGCGCTGGGCAGGTACGGGGCCGGGCGCTGGGCAGGTACGGGGCCAGGCGCTGAGCAGGGACTGGGCCGGGCGCTGGGCAGGTACTGGGCCGGGCGCTGGGCGCGGAATGGGGCCGGGCGACGGGCAGGTACGGGCCGGGCGCGGGCAGGAGACGGGGCCAGGCGCTGGGCAAAGGACGGGGCCAGGCGCGGGCTTGGTACGGGCCGGGCGCGGGCTAGGTACGGGGCCAGGCGCGGGCGAGGTACGGGCCGGGCGCGAGGCTAGGTACGGGCCGAGCAACGGGCTAGGTATGGGCCGGGTGACGGGCTAGGTACGGGCCGGGCGACGGGCTAGGTACGGGCCGGGCGCGGGCAGGAGACGGGGCCGGGCGCGGGCTAGGTACGGGCCGGGCGACGGGCTAGGTACGGGCCGGGCGACGGGCTAGGTACGGGCCGGGCGCGGGCGACGAAGTCGACGGGGCCAGCGGGGCCGAGGTGACGGGGCCAAGGGGCCGAGCGCAGGCTAGGTACGGGCCGGGCGCAAGGCTAGGTACGGGCCGAGCGACGGGCTAGGTACGGGCCGGGCGACGGGCGAGGTACGGGCCAGGCGACGGACTAGGTACGGGCCGGGCGACGGGCTAGGTACGGGCCGGGCGACGGGCTAGGAACGGGCCGATCGCGGGCTAGGTACGGGCCGATCGCGGGCTAGGGGCGACGCCAAGGGGCGACGGGCCGGGGCCTAGGCTAGCAGGGCAGTAGGTGGTGGGCCCATTAACATTAGGTCCTAGGAATGTTATGCTCTTAATACCATGTTAGAATCTTAGGTGAGAATCATTGACTAGGAAAAGGGAAGGGGTACAAGTAGAATGTCGAGAGAAACTTTGTACCCCCTAAGGCTAAACCCACTATAGCCTAGACAACTATAAACACATAAACTAAGCCTAGATATAACTAGGCATATATGTTTGACAGCTGGAGCTGGTGGTGCTGCAGGCGCTGGAGGTCCTGCTGCTGCTGGAGCTGCTGGGGGTTCTAGAGCCAGTGGTCCCGGGGGTGCTCGTACTGGAGGTACTGGAGCTGCTGGGCCTGGTGGTGCTGCTGGGGCTGGAGCTGCTGGAGGTGCTGGAGCTCGCGGTACTACTGGACCCGGTGCTACTGGAGCTGCTGGCCCTGGCGCTGCTGGTGCTACTGGGGCTTCTAGTGGTTATGCTGGAGCTGGAGCTCCTGGAGGTGCTGGAGCTCCTGGAGGTGCTGGAGCTGGAGGTGCTGGAGCTGGAGGTGCTGCTGGAGCCGGTGCTCCTGGGGGTGCTGGAGTTGGCGCTACTGGAGCTGCTGGAGGTGCTGGTGGAGCTGGTGGTGCTACTGGAGTTGGAACTGACGCTGGGGGTGCTAGTGCTGTTCCTGCTGGTTCTGGAGGCACTGCGCGGCCGCGGCAGTACTTCGTTCCACTCCTTGAGAAGGTTCTTGGTCTCCCGCCTTCTACCGGTCCTGCTCCTTCCTTAGAGTGTCCACAGCCTGTCCAGTCCGAGTCACAGTTACAGCCGGCCTCCCCACTGCCTACTCCTTCTCCTTAAACTGGTCCGACAGGAGGTCTTACGGAGCGTCGTGAGCCTGAGTCTCGTCCTGCGTCGCCTGTTCGTGCTGCTCGCACTGGTCGTCGTGGTTTGCGTCAGCGTCCTCCTCCTGTCCCTGGCACACACCAGATGGCTCTGCGTCCTTCCACTGCTCCGCTGCGTGTCCCTCTGCCATCTCTTGCTGACCCGGAGTCTGACTCCCTTCGTGCTGCTAGTCCTACTGTCACGCGTCTCGTGGCCACTGTTGTCACTGACCCTTCCTTTGAGTCCACTGCTGCGTCTGCCTTAGTTGCTGAGCTTGTCGACTTTGCTGCTCACTGTCGTCTGGACTACGCCGCTAGTCTTGTTACTCAGTCTGCGTCTGTCTGTCCTCCGTCCGTCGGGGGTGAGTGTGCTCTTAGCACGGACGTCCTTGAGGACAGGCAAGAGGAGTTCCAGTGTTTAGCTGCTTCTTTACCTCATCTCGTGTCCATGCTGCTTGCCCCTGAGGGAGACCCGGATGCACCAGACATCCCGACCTCGCGCTCTTTCGCAGAGGCGATAGAGGGTCCCTACTCCTCTCAGTGGCAGACAGCGATGGACGCAAAGATGGCTTCCTGGAATTCCACAGGCACCTACGTCGACGAGGTTCCCCCACCTGGGGCGAACATTGTCGATGGCATGTGGATTTTCAGGGTGAAGCGGCCGCCGGGTTCTCCGCTGTCTTCAAGGCGCGTTACGTGGCTCGAGGCTTCAGTCAGCGGCAGGGAGTTGACTACTTTCAGACCTTCTCTCCCACCCCGAAGATGACCACTCTTCGGGTACTGCTGCACGTCGCTGCTCAGCGTGACTACGAGCTCCACTCGCTTGACTTCAGCACAGCCTTCCTACAGGGCAGCCTGCACGAGGAGATCTGGCTGCGCCGCCCACCTGGCTTCACTAGGTCGTTTCCTCATGGTACCTAGTGGAGCCTCCGGCGGCCAGTCTACGGTCTCCGCCAGGCGCCCCGTGAGTGGCACGACACACTGAGGACTACGCTTGCGGCTCTTGGGTTTGCTCCTTCCGCTGCTGACCCGTCGCTGTTTCTCCGCACCGACACTACTCTGCCGCCGTTCTACATCCTCGTGTACGTCGACGACTTGGTCTTTGCTACTGCTGACATTGCTGGACTGGCCCACGTGAAGTCGGAGCTGCAGAAGAGACACACCTGCACTGACCTGGGTGAGCTGCGCAGCTATCTTGGCTTGCAGATCACCCGGGACAGAGCACGCCACACCATTACCTTGACTCAGTCACACATGGTGCAGCAGGTCCTTCAGCGCTTCAACTTCACGTACTCCTCACCTCAGGCCACTCCTCTGTCTACTCGCCACTCGCTCTCAGCTCTGCCTTTGGATGAGTCCGTAGAGCCGAGTGGCCCGTACCCAGAGCTTGTCGGCTGCCTCATGTACCTGATGACCTGCACACGACCTGACCTGGCATACCCTCTTAGCATCTTGGCACGCTATGTTGCTCCTGGGAGACACCGACCAGAGCACATGGATGCAGCTAAGAGGGTGTTGCGCTACCTGTGCAGTACGTCGGGCATGGGGCTCGTGCTTGGAGGACGGGCTCGAGTTATCTTCACTGGTCACGCAGACGCTTCTTGGGTTGACGACTTGGCTACGCAGCGGTCGTCACAGGGTTACACCTTCAGCCTTGGTTCCGGCTCTGTTTCGTGGCGGTCTACCCGCTCGTCTTCTGTTCTCAGCTCCAGTTGTGATTCTGAGATCTACGCTGGGGCCATGGCTGCACAGGAGTTACGCTGGCTCACCTACCTGCTGACCGACTTGGGAGAGGCGCCTCGTTCTCCTCCAGTTCTGTACGTCGACAACAAGGCCATGCTGGCCTTGTGTCAGGAGCACAGACTGGAGCACAGAACGAAGCACATTGCTCTGCGCTACTTCCTTGCTCGAGAGTTGCAGCAGCGTGGTCAGCTTTGTCTTGCTTACGTGGCCACTCGGGCCAACACTGCTGATATCTTTACCAAGGCACTTCAGCCTTGTGATCATCAGCGCTTTTGTACTATGCTAGGTCTTGTGCCTACTTGGCCTCACTTGCTCACTTCTTGACTTTGCTTGTACTGTGATCTATATATACCTGCACCTGCATGCTTACCCTTGCTAGGTTGAGATCACTGTCTTGCTTGTTCACCTTGATATATAACTCTGCATGTGAACTGGCCTTGTCGCCTTGTGCTTGTGCTCAGAATGTGTGGTGACGTCGTATCCACCCTGAGCTTGCTTTGCTTTGCTTGACTGGTCTTGTGACCTCTTGTTCTCCCCCACTTTGCCTATGGGGGTGTGTCAAACATATATGATATAGCCTGTGTAGGCTGTAGTGGGGTAGTCATTATGGTGTACAGGTTTTCTAGCTTTTCATACTTGTACTCATCTCCTTTCCTATTTCATTCATTCCTCGTACTATTCTCACATAGCCGACTTGCTCGCATAATGCGAGAAAACCGCTCGTGTAGTCTTGAACCGATCCGAGCTGCCGCCAAGTGCGCAGCTTCTGACGCGCCGAAATCGAAGCCGCAATCCGCTCGAAACGCGCCCGAAGCCCTGCTCACCACGCATCCCACGTGCTGTACTGGGCTGTCTCGCAGAATGAACTCCAGGTGACGGCTGGGCCCGTGGGCCCTTCTTCTTGCGACGGTGGCTCGTAGGCGCGTGGCGACGTCACGATGACTCGCCACCAATCCATGGCGGGGCCCCTCAGCAGCGAAACAGCGTAGCGAATCTTCGCTGCGTCCGACTCGACGTAGTTCGCGTCGAAGAAAAAGTTCATCGTGAAGACCCACGACTGAACCGTCGGACCTCCACGTTGGCTCGGCTCGAAACAGGGCGGCTGCGGCTTGAGTGGCATTGGTGCCGTGACGGCGTATTCGCCACTTGTCGCTGCAAATTCCACATGCCGACGGGCTTCGCGGGGCTCCCGCGGGCTTGGTGCGGCCCTGTTTCTCTCCATGCCAGGCATTGAGTGAGCGGCGCCCTCACTGGCTACGCCTGAGCGCTGTCCCACGCTGTCATTCTGTGCCGGTGTGCCTGACGAGATGATGATCGGCTCCTCGGGTTGTGCAGGTGCGTTTGTTGGTGCTGGTGTATTCACTGTCGATTGCTGGCGAGCGGAGTCGCGTTCCGCCGTGAGTGTGGCGATTTCGAGGGCCGAATCTTCGAGTTGGCGTATAAGACGGTCGAGCTGTGCTTGCGTCAGTGTCGCGAGAGTGATTTCAGCCATGGCGGGGGTGTCAGGCAAGCTCAGCGAGAGCCTCTGTCGTGGCCGTGCGTGCTTACGAGAGAGCACTACGAGCGGCGGTGCTTGTTCGCTGAGAGACGTCTACCCCCCCCCAAAAAATTGAGATAGTGGGGAAGCGAAGGTGTGGGTGCGGTCCGAGAGAAGATCGTAGGCTCTGATAACCAAGTGTTACGAGTGCAATGGAGTGAGCGGGCGAGGATTGCACTATCGAGGCAAGGATACAATGAGCGAAGGATTGAGCGAAGAATATGTAGCGAAGTTACAGTGGTAACGGTAACGTGCGGGAAAATGGGATGCGCGACGGGCCTGGTGCCGAGGTTGGGGAATGTCGAGGTGGAGGTCCGGAGCGCGGGTTACCAACCGAACCGTGAGGTTGGGTCGCATCGTGAACAGTGGCGGAAATGGGGTCGAGGCGAATGTCGCGAGTGGTAACGGATTATTGTGGGGTGCTGTTGGCGGGAACAGTGGTGTACGCGCTGTGCAGGGACGCAAAGGAAAAGGATTTTTCCTTACACTTAGCTTCCCAGTTTGCGATATGGTTTTCACAAATCTCGTGATGGTGTTCTCAAGGCCTTTATGTTAGCACATAGTAGCGATTTGTTCTCAGGATTCAGGAAAGTTCTCTGGATTGATTTGCTCATAGCGGCCTGTGGTGCAAGCAGCAGTAATTTCAGATTCACATCACCCTCGTTCCGCTCTCGCGCTTTCGATTCCTCGCCTTGTTCTTTCTTAGCCGCCTCTTCCCGTCTTCCTCACTTCCCTGCTGCTCGCATTCCTGCCCTTTTCTCTGCTCCAATGCGAGGCCCTAACAAGACAAGTTGCCGTTCCTCCGTTGTTCTCCTCCTCGTCATCTTCTCCCTCTCACCGTCTTTCAATGTGTCACCGACAACGCCGTTGACGGTAACGGTAACGTCGCCCGTAACTGTGGCGACGGCGGCGAAAGTAATCGGAGCGGAGAGAGTTACTTACAAGTCCCCAGATCCGAACGAAGAGGAGAAGTTAGAAGCTGCGTTAGGCAAGATTAAAGCCCCAGTTCAGGCCCTAACGGTGGCAACCCTCCGAAAGACTATAACGGAGCATTCCCGCGTCCTTATAGTGTTTTTCAATAAGGAGGATAAGGCGTTTCCGTTGCTCGTGGATGATGTGTCTGGAGCTAAAGCGGAGTTGACTAAGCTGGGTGTGACTGTAGCGATGGTGGATGGAATTTCGGTGGGCGAAAACGTTCGCAAAGAGTTCAAGGCTTATGGCGACATGCCGAATTTCGTGCTCGTCAGAGACGGAGTTTTCAGACCAATCAGAGGCTACCCCGAGAGGTGCGAGTGTGGTGTTTCATGAGTTTCATCATCGGGTTACCCTAGCAGAGGAAATGTGTCGAATGGCGAAATGCGAAACTCCATGTTCGTGCTTGTGAGAGGAGATGGTGCTTTCAAACAGACGTTCGATCCAGACGGGACCTTTGGGATGGGAGCTCTTGAAAACACTTCTATTCCCTCCTCCCTGATCCCAGCGACGAGCTCATCACCTTTGTGAAGAACGCCTGGGGCTGTCAGTGACGCACCTCTCTTATCAACGCCACTGTGCAAATATTCTGTCCTTAACCCAATCCCCTCCTCTCTCCGCCCCAACCCTAGTGACGAGCTCATCACCTTTGTGAAGAAACGGCTGGGCCTCTCAGTGACTCACCTGCATTATTGACTGAAGCAGATCTACAAGAGCTCATCCAGTGGCTCAAAGTCCTATCCTTCCGCCCAAACTGCTCCTCTCATTTCCCCCATATTCTCCCCAACCCCAGTGACGAGCTCATTACCTTTGTGAAGAAGCGCCTGGGCCTGTTAGTGACTCACCTCACCGCCTCAGAAGCGCACAAGGCACACTCCTTGCTTGCTGCTTCCAACGCCATCGCCCTCGCTTTCCTGCACTCCCTCAAGGTTAGTGTGCGTGTCTCGTCTCTCTCTCTACTCGTCAGTCTGGCCGTCTGCCTGTCAGTCACTCACCTCATCGCCTCAGATGCGCACAAGGCACACTCCCTGCTCGCCGCTTCCAACGCCATCGCCCTCGCCCTCCTGCACTCCCTCAAGGTTGGTTGGTTGGTGTGTGTGTGTGTGTGTGTGTGCGTCTCTCCTGTTGCCTCTCTCTGCCTCATCTCGCTGCCCGTCTGTCTGTCAGCCACTCACCTCTCTGCCTCAGATACGCACAAGGCACACTCCCTGCTCGCTGCTTAAAAAACGATCGCCCTCGCCCTCCTGTACTTCCTCAAGGTTGGTTGGTGTTGCTCGCTCTCCTCCTCTCTCTGCTCCTCTCTCTCCTCGTCGCTCTCCTCGTCTCTCTGCTCCTCTCTCTCCTCGTCTCTCTCCTCGTCTCTCTGCTGCTCTCTCTCCTCGTCTCTCTCTTCGTCTCTCTCCTCGTCTCTCTCCTCGTCTCTCTCCTCGACTCTCTGCTCCTCTGAGTTCAGGTTTCTGTTCTTCTTTTGTTTCTAACCCAACCAATCCCAGGGTCCGGAGGCGGAGGCGTTCGCGGAAGCGTCTCGTGACATCGATGACATCGAGTTTATCCCAACGACGGATGCAAACATCGCTGCGGAGTTCAGGATTCTGAGCCAAACCAATATTATATTCCTTTCAACCCAACCAATCACAGGGCCCGGAGGCGGAGGCGTTCGCGGAAGCGTCTCGCGACATTGATGACATCGAGTTTATTGCAACGACAGATGCAAACATCGCTGCGGAGTTCAGAATTGTGAGCAAGGAGCGACCGACTGTGGCGGTTATTAAGAAGGAAGACGAGAAGTTTGTTGCTCATGGTGAGAAGAGAATTGGAGAGGGGGGGGGAGGGGGGGAGGGGGGAGGTGTTGATGGCAGCGGCGTAAAGGATTGTGAGCAAGGAGCGGCCTACAGTTCAAGGATAAAGCAAGAGAGAATCTTAAAGCATGAAGATGTTTCAATCATCCTTGTCTCTACCCTCCCTCTCTACTCTTCTCGCGTACCCCCGCCCCACTCATCACTCCTCCCGTTCTCCGCTTCCCCCCTCCCAAACGGCCTGTTCACCAGCACTGCCATTGCTGCCCTTGTAACGGCCAACAAGCTGCCTCAACCCCAATGTACCCCCCTGTCTACCCTCCCGCTTTGCCGTCTACCCCCTCCTCTAACCCCCAACCCAACCCAGACGGTCCCTTCACCAGCACTGCCATTGCTGCCTTTGTAACGGCCAACACGCTGTTAGTGTTAGTCTTCAATCTCACAATTTGTACTTTGTATTTTCTATATCCTAGAGTAGTGTAGTTTGCACATTGTGTTTGGTTGGGTGTACACCTACATCCCAACCAAACCCAAATGTAATCTCCAACCAATCTCCAACCCACCAATCGGAGATTATCTTGGGATTACCCCCAATCCCTAGAGATTGCCCTCGATTCCCTTCCCCATCCTTTTCCTACCCTTCTTGGATGTACTTAAAGAGCTTCAAGCTCATTACTAATGCATCAGTTCTAAGCCTAAGTTCTCACATGGTATCAGAGCCCTTCAACCGCGGATGTTCGTCCCGCAAACCTCGGCGTAGCCATCGTCAATCTCGTCGCCGGTGATTCGCGACATTCAAAGGCGGAATTCTTCCCGCACCTCGTTCCCGTCAATTTCGACGACGTCAACAACCTTTCTGGTAAGCGCATCATCGGCGCTATAACCTATCGCTCGTTTTCGTCGTGCGCGCTCGTTTTCGTCGAACGGTTTCGTCGCCCTTCTTCTCCTCGTCGGGCCGCCGCCCGTCGCCCCGCAGCTTCTCGTCGGGCCGCCGCCCGTCGCCCCGCAGCGTCATCTTCGGGCCGCCGCCCGTCGCCCCGCAGCGTCATCTTCGGGCCGCCGCCCGTCGCCCTGCAGCGTCATCTTCGGGCTGCCGCCCGTCGCCCAGCATCTGCACTCCTACCCCCATCCCCCCTTTTCCCGCAGCTGAACAGGTGCAGCAGCGCAGCCGAGCAGCAGCGTAGCAGCGAAGCCGAGCAGCCGTGTAGCCGTGAAGCCGAGCAGCAGCGTAGCCGTGAAGCTGAGGGCGGTGTGTGGGGGGGTGTGTGGGATTAGGGTTAGCTCTTCTAGAATCGGCCGATTCGACCTAATTTCGACGGCCTGTAAATTTCTTCTACGAGGCAATTCGACGCGGCTGACATTGACGATTTTTGCCTTTCGGGTCCGTCGGATTTCGGAATCGCCGCGCTGCGCGCCGCTCGTTCCTATCGGTGACTTAAGAGCGGCGCTCCGCGCGAGAAGTTAAGGGGTCTTCATCATGGCTCTCTCCTCTTCCACCATGGCCAACCCCATCACCCCACTCCGCCTTGAAGCCGATGGCTCTAGCTCCAACTTCAAGGCATGGAGCTACAGGGTTGACAAGCACCTCCTGAGTCGTGATGTGCAGGGATTGGACCTCAAGGACGTCCTCCTCAACCGTGGAAAGGGGAAACAGCCTACTCTCCCCCGTGAGCCGACCGAATCTTCTAATGATGCTGACGTGAGGGCGTACGAGGAAGCTGCTGAGAAGTACCGGAAATGGGAGAAGGCCGATGCTGCCATCATCAGCGTCTTCATCGCCTCCACCCCTCCCGAACTTGTCAACACGTTCCACAACTACCCTACCTCCAACGCCATCTGGAAGTATCTCCAGGATCGGTTCATGAACAAGACGGCGGTTGGAGTGGCGATTCTCATCCCCAGCATGTTTCAAGTCCGTCTTGAGGACTGCTCAGGGATGGCCGACTACATCGCCAAGGTGCAAACCATTCATGGTGAACTCAAGGAGCTGGGTATAGTCTTCCCCGAACAAGCCCCTGCAGCCGCCCTCCTTGTTGGTCTCACCTCGGCATATGAAGTCACGAGGAAGATGCTCCTCACGCTCTCAGCGGAAGACCTCACTTTTGCTAAGGTCTCCACCGCACTCCTCTCTGCCGAGAAAGACTCCACGGCTCAGGCCAAGGCGTACGCCATCCGTGCTCCCATGCCCCCAGCAAGTGTTGCAGCGGCTCTCGCCTCGGCGCCTTTCCAGCGCAACCGCTTTCCTCCGTGCCCCTACGTCGTCAAGTATGGCAACCGCAAGGGACAAGTGTGTGGTGGCACTAACCACCCCCTTGCTACATGCTTCAAGAAGAAAGACGACGAGTGGTATGCCATCCACGGAGTTGACAAGAAGCCGCCAAACTGGATGCGCCCTCGTAAGGCCAACCTCGTTGAGGTCCAGGACCGCTCTTCGGCTAGTGCTAGTGATAGTGCCCCTGCTGATGTGCGTATCAACCTGTTGTTCCCTGGCACTGCCATGATTAATGAAGCTACTTCCCAGTACATCGACTCATCACAGGCACCACAATACATAGAGTTCACACTCGACAGCGGGGCCACTCACACTGTGCTCAAGGAGACACTCTCCTTCAAACCCTATCCAGCACCTATCCCTCTCTTGGGAGCTGACTCCAGCTTCACCACCCTAGCCAAGGGCACCTCCACAGTCCCATGCCCCGCCTTCCCTTCCGGCACCGTCACTGGTATGTGCGTGCCTTCACTACGCCACAATCTAGTGGCTCAAACAGAAATTCAGGAAGCAGGGCTACGCACCATATTCTCGGAGAATGAGGACCACTGCGACATCATCGATCCACTCACCAACAAGGTCTTGGCCCGCTTCACCCTCAATAGCAGCGGCCTCTACACGCTACGCGTACCTCTCCCACAGGTTTCAACCACCCAAGCACAGGCTCCCATCACACCATGCTCATGTCGCAGCCTCTCCAACCCGACCATCCTCTATCACCATCGGTTAGGGCACCCAAACTTCCGCACGCTTGCTGACATGGCCTCCAAGAAACTTCTTCTCGGCCTGCCAGCCACACTTCCTCCACCACCTGACTCACCCGCTCCCACGTGCCTTGATTGCACCAAGAGCAAACTGCGCCAACAGCCTCACACTGCCTCACCCACAGTCGCAGCGGCACCACTGGACCTAGTGCACATGGACGTCTGGGGCCCTGCCCCTGTTCTCGCACGAGGTGGCTATCGCTACTTCCTTGTTCTCGTGGATGACCACTCCCGCTACGTCTCTGTTCACCTCCTCCACACTAAGGGTGAGGCTCTAGAGGTCATCATGGCGTGGGTCAAGCAGGCACAGACCACCTTTGACCGCAAGGTCAAGCGCCTTCACTCGGATGGGGGGGGTGAATTTTGCAACGACAAGCTCAAAGCCTTCTGCTCCTCCGAAGGCATCCAGCAAAACTTCACCCTCCCTGACAGCCCTCAACAGAACGGCATAGCTGAGAGCCGCAACCACACCCTGGTGCAGATCACTCGGTGCCTCCTCAGCCACTCCAACGCTCCACACTCTCTCTGGGGGTACGCTCTCTACCACGCCGCCCTCCTCTACAACCTTTACCCCCACCCGCACCTTCCCGACACCACTCCAACCACACTCTGGCTCGGGAAAACGCCCACTGCTCGCTCTCTTCACGTTTGGGGATGCACCGCCTATGTCCTCCTCAACCCTCAGGCTCGACGGCAGAACGGTGGCAAGCTCGGTCCCAAGACTCAGACGTGCATCTACCTCGGGCACAACGCCGACTCACCTGACTACCTCTTCCTCAATCCCTCCACTCAACAGTTGGTCAGGAGCCGCGACGTTGTCTTTGATGAGACCCGCCCATTCTACTCCCCTTCGGGACGGGACCCTCTCCCTGATCCACCCTCCCTCGTGTGGGCAGACTTTGATGCGCCTCCCGACCTCCCGCCTGCTCCTGCCCCCTCACCTCCTCCCTCTCCTGCCATCGCACCATCTCCCTCTGAGGTCTCTGACCCGGCCTCACCGATGTCTTCGGCAGCTGCTCCTCCCTCCCCCTCACCTTCCCCACTTCCCGCTGCGCCGCCCCCTCCGAGCGCACCTATCACCTACCATCGGCGGTCCCACCCTCCGGCCCCACCTCCTCCCCCGGTTCCCCCCACCACAGAGGAACCCGCTCTCCCACAGTCGCCCGAGCTGATCACGTACCGCCGGCGGCCCATTCCCCCGCCCAAGCCTCCTAAGTCACCCTCTCCGACACCGCCTGCCCCACCCTCTTCTCCGGTGGCTCATGGCACTCGCTCACATCGCGCTGCTCTTCCACTCGCGATGGTTCTTCGATACACAGCGATCACACCGCCTCCTCCTGCTGGGGGGGATGTGCCCTCTACCCTTCTAGAAGACAGGCATGAGGAGCTGTGTGATCTCCATGCAGTCATTCCTCAGCTCTCACACATCTTCCCCGACATCACTGGCACTCCCTCAACTTCGTGGAGAACCCGACCATCCCTATCCCTCTCACCGTCCAAGAGGCTCTCTCAGGCCCTCATGTTGCCGAATGGCGTGCTGACATGGACGCGGAAATTGCAGCATTCACCCGCAACCACTCCTTCGACGATGAGACTCCACCTCCAGGAGTCAACATCGTCGGGGGCAAGTGGTTGTTCCGTGTAAAACAGCTCCCAGACGAGGCACCGGTGTTCAAAGCGCGTTACGTAGCCAAGGGCTTCACCCAGCAGCAGTACCGCGACTTCTTCCTAACCTTCTCCCCCACATCCAAACCTCCCACCATTCGTACGCTCATGGATGTCGCAGCTCGAGAAGACTTTGAGATCAAATCCATGGATGCCTCATCCGCCTTCCTACAAGGACGTCTCAAGGAGACAGTGTTCATGGACAGACCAGAAGGCTTCCCAGGAGAATTCCCTCCCAACACTGTCTGGAAGCTGAATCGCCCCGTCTACGGCCTTAAGCAAGCCCCTCGCGAATGGCACAACAAGATGAAAGAAGTCCTCCTCTCCCTGGGCTTCCACCCTTCAACTGCTGACCCGACTCTCTTCATCCGCCGTCATTCTGAGCCCTTCTACATCCTAGTCTACGTGGATGATTTCATCCTCGTTGCCAAGGACTCGGCCCAGATGACCTCAGTCCAGGCAGCCCTAAGCAAGGCTCTCCAGATGAAAGACCTCGGTGACCTCAAGCACTACCTAGGGATGGAGATCACTCGTGATCGCAAGGCTCGCACCATTTCACTCTCCCAGGAGTTCTACATCGACAATGTGCTCAAGCGGTTTGAGATGGAGCTGTGCACACCTGTTGCCACCCCGCTGCCGCTGCAACACCTCTTCACAGCTCCAGCTGTACCCACACCAGAGGCCTGCTCTGAGCCATACCCGGAGCTTGTTGGGTCCCTCATGTACGCCATGATGTGCACCCGACCGGACCTGGCCTATCCTGTCAGTGTCCTCTCTCGCTACGTGGCCCCTGGACGCTTCACTGATCTTCACTGGAAGGCAGCCAAGCAGGTGCTGCGCTATCTTCAGGGCACCAAGTCTCACGTCCTCACACTCGGTGAGCTCTCCCCTCCTCGCCTGGAAGGTTACACCGACTCCTCCTGGGCTGATGACTAGACCGATCGACGCTCCTCTCAGGGGCACTGCTTCACCCTTGGGAGCGGAATTGTCAGTTGGCGCTCCACCAGGTCGTCTGCAGTCTCCCTCTCCTCATGTGAGGCAGAGCTCTACGCAGGCACCATGGCTGCTCAGGAGGCCCGTTGGCTCACCTTCCTCCTCCGGGAGCTTGGTTTCCCACAGTCCGCCCCCACCCTCTGGTGTGACAACCAGAGTACCATCCACATCTCTCAAGACCCTGTGTATCACACCCGCACTAAGCACATTGAACTCCGGCACTTCTTCATCCGTGACCTTGTCCAATAAGAGCAGCTGAAAGTGGAATACGTGGCATCTGACTGCAACCTGGCTGATCTGTTCACCAAGCCCCTTGGGAAAGTTCCCCACCACCGTCTCCTTGGCGCCATGGGGCTCTATGCTCCACCCTCTCTACCCTGAGTTCGATTGACGCCTATGGGGGGGTGTTAGTGTTAGTCTTCAATCTCACAATTTGTACTTTGTATTTTCTATATCCTAGAGTAGTGTAGTTTGCACATTGTGTTTGGTTGGGTGTACATCCCAACCAAACCCAAATGTAATCTCCAACCAATCTCCAACCCACCAATCGGAGATTGTCTTGGGATTACCCCCAATCCCTAGAGATTGCCCCCGATTCCCTTCCCCATCCTTTTCCTACCCTTCTTGGATGTACTTAAAGAGCTTCAAGCTCATTACTAATGCATCAGTTCTAAGCCTAAGTTCTCACACACGCTGCCTCATCACATGCAGCTCACTTCCTTACCATCTCCCTGAATCCCCTTGCAATGCACCCCCCTGTTCCCCCCTGTCTACCCTCAATCTTGGCCCTGTGTCTCCTGCTTTGACTCCCCCAGACGGTCCCTTCACCAGCAGTGCCGTTGCCGCCTTTGTAACGGCAAACAAGCTGCCTCTGGTTACCACCTATGATGAGGAGAGCCAGTACACTATATTCAACAGTGATATCAAGAAACAAGTGAGTTTCTAGTTTACCATGGTTTTTGTAACAGTTAATAGCGTTTCTCTGGTTACCACCTCTGATGAGGACAGGACAGGCAGTGCACTATATTCAACTGCGATATCAAGAAACAAGTGAGCTTTTTTTATAGTGGCGTGTGTTTGTAACGGTCAACAAGCTGCCTCTGGTTACCACCTATGACGAGGAAAGCACTCCACTACACTCCAACCAACCAAACACTCCAATATTACATCATCGATTAACAATGTACGGCATTGTAACGAGATGACTTCTTCTGAGTCGACTCAGAAGTCAGCTCGTTACAATGTCTCTCGGCTCCCATTAAGTTCCAATCCCTTACTGCTCCCCTGACCAACACGTCAAACTCTCCAGTATTACTTCGTCCTGCAGCAAAGCACTACTGCAACGTCCCCCTAGCATGTGTTGATCTGCCAGGTGGTGTTTTTGGCTATGCCCTAGGCCTACGCACAGCACCTGCCACTCTTCGGTATCCTTCCCCCATTCTCCTGTTACTCTGTTCCCCTGTTACCCTTCTCTCCCATTCTCCTCTTCACATATTCCCCTGTTCCCTTTTCCCCTATTCCTCTCCACCCTCCCCCACCATCCATGCACCAGGTGCTGTTTCTGGTAACGCGTGAAAATTACGCCCAGCACCTGCCAGCCAGTGGCTCTTGAGTCAGCTCAATAGTCACCTCATGCTCATCTCCCCCCCCCTCCACCCTCTCCCCATCACCATCCATTCACCAGGTGTTGCTTCTGGCAACGAATGAGACCTACCCGCAGCACCTGCCAGTGGTGAAAGAGGCTGCCAGGCGGGTGAAAGGACTGGTGAGCGTAAGGAAGGAAGGGGGAGGGAGAGGAAGGTGGTGGGGAAGGTGGGAGGGGTTGGTCTGATAGGAGGGTGAAAGCAAGGCAGGCCCACACCTGCCAGTGGCGAAAGAGGCTGCCAGGCGGGTGAAAGGACTGGTGAGTGGTTGGGGGCTGAGAAAGAGAGAAAGGGGGTTTGGTTGGTGCCAGGTAAAGGGGGGAAGGGGGGGGAGAGGGTAAAAAATCCCCAGTTGGCTGGTGTTTGTTTAGCAACGTCTGAGACCCGCGCGCAGCGCCTGCCAGTGATGACAGAGGCCGCTAAGCGGGTGAAAGGACTGGTGAGCGATCAGGATGCGGGGGAGTTTTCATTACAGAGAGGGTTGGAAGTTGGACGTCGGTTGGCAGGAATGGAATCACCAGGTGCTGCTCGTTCCTTCCTAGCAACGAATGAGACCTATGCACAGCAGCACCTGCCAGCCAGTGATGAACGAGTTCCTTACAGAGAGGGCTGGAACAAGGGTGTTGGAAAGGGAAATAAGTCAGCAGGAGGTGGTGCTGCTCGGAGCAAGCAATCAAGTACATGTGCTTGTCTGTGTGTAGTGAGTCGAGTTTTGAGTCGACTCAAAACTCGGCTCACTACACGCGGAACAAGGGTGTTGGAAAGGGAAATAAGTCAATCAAGGTGGTGCTGCTCGGAGCATGCAATCAAGTACGTGTGCTTGTCTGTGGCTTGCCTTGTCTGGCTTGCATTGTCTGGCTTGCCTTGTCTGGCTTGCCTTGTCTGGCTTGCATTGTCTGGCTTGCCTTGTCTGGCTTGCCTTGTCTGGCTTGCATTGCCCTTCACCTTCTCAATACCACCAGGCCCTCTTTGTGTATATCAACAGTGATCTTCCAGACTCGGAGCATGCTCTAGAGTACTTTGGCTTGTGCTACTTCAGCGACCTCTCCTCTTGGTGCTCCCACCCTCCCAACCCTCCCCCTCCCCCTTCTCCCCAACCCGCCAGGCCCTATTTGTCTACATCAACAGTGATCTTCCAGACTCAGAGCATGCACTCAAGTGCTTTGGATTCCCTTCCATGCCTTCTCTTGTCATACCCCCCTCCTCTGCTACCCCAACCACCAGGCCCTCTTTGTGTATATCAACAGCAACCTGCCAGACTCAGAACAGGCTCTTGAGTACTTAGGCATTCGCTTACTGTCTATCCCTAGTCTTTCACCCTTGGTCCACCCCCTTATAAATACCACCAGGCTCACTTTGTGTATATCAACAGTGACCTGCCAGAATCAGAACACGCCCTTGAATACTTTGGCTTCAGGCACGGCGATACTGCGGTAAGCATGGGTTCGGTGCGGTGGTGTGGGTTCAAAGTTGCGAGCGTGAGCTTATTGGGGGTGATTCTGGTCTTAGTACAGTGAGTGAGCATGGGTTCAATGCGGTGATTGCAGTGCCGTTTCCAAGAACTTGCCTCTTCATCCCTCTGCTCTGCCCACTCCCGCTCCTCTATCATTCCCTCCTCACATCATGGGCATGGTGTCCAATGAGACGGATAATGTCAAGTTCGAGTTCAACGGGCACTGCGCTCCCTCTACCTACCTATGCTTCTTTCTGCCTCCCATCTGCTTCTACCTACCTCTACTTAAGCTCAAGAGGCTCTTCGCTCTGCTTCTACCTACCTCTACTTACCTCCTTCTGCCTCCCATTTCCCTTGGCCTGCCTGCCTCCCTCCTCACATCATGGGCATGGTGTCCAATGAGACGGATAAGGTCAAGCTCAAGTGCCACATGCACGCGCGCTCGCACGCACGCACACACACACACACACACACACACGCACACACACACACACGCACACACACACACACACACACACACACACAACACCAATCCCTGCCTTCTCCCCCTCCCCCCCTTACTTTAGATCATGGGCATGGTATCCAATGAGACGGACGAGGTCAAATTCAAGTTCAACGGGCAGATCACCACCGATGACATAGAGGTAAGATTTCTCTTAGAAATCTCAGAAGCGAGATTTTTTATCATAATAATAATTGTAATATTAATAATAATAATATTAGTGATAATAGTAATCATAATAATAGTAATAATAGTAGTAATAATAATAATAGTAATACTAATAATAATAATAATAATAAAATAGTTCAACAGAAGTTGAGAACATGGCATCGAGGTGAGAGAACGATCCCAACTACTGCTGCTCCATTCTTGAGGAGTCTCAAAAGGCTTCAAACAAGACGGCGGTGCTAAATGCCCTCCAGAGGGAAGGTCAGTCACCACTATGGTATTGTGGTGTGAGAGTGCTTTGCTTGGACTAACCACGTGAAAGAAGTGATTTTTTTAGACGTCTCAAACATTCAATTCCTTCACGTGGCTAAACAAGACGGCGGTGCCAAAGGCCCTCAAGAGGGCAGGTCACCACTGATGGTATTGTGGTGTGAATCTGTGAGAGTGATTTTTTACCACTAACATCAGAGCCTCTATGCTTGTGCATAGATGAATATCTTACCTCCTTGACCGTTCTACTTGACTGTTCTACTTGACTCGCTCTGCCTACCGTTGCTTACTTGTGCCTACCGCAGCATGCCTCTCTCTGCCTGCCCTTGTTTCTACTGCTTACCCCTTCATCTCTCCCTACACACGCACCCTCAACAACCCCACTGTCGGATTTCCCATGTCAATCTCTCCTTGAAACGCATTTAAGTATCTTCCCTCGAGAAAGCTCTTGGGGTGGATGTTTACGTGAACACTGCTTGTTTTCCCCTTCCCTTCCCACCCCATCCCAAACAGGCACCACCAACCAATTCATCAGGCTTCATTCATCAGGCCTTTGCTGCGAGCCTGCCGCTGATGCACTGGAGCCATTGTTTTGTGTCCCGCACCCTCTTAAAGACACGCCAACTCCCTTGTTATCTTTCTAAATCACTTATTTCTTTCTCCACTCTCACCGCCTTCTCAAACATGCACCACCACAGGCCTTTGCTCGTGAGCTTGCTGCCGACCGTCTGGAGCCTTATTACCTCTCCGACCCCATCCCTGAGAAGGTGAGGAAAGGTCTTCTCGGTTCCACCAACATCCCAAATATGCACCACTGCCAGCCAGCCAGCCAACCCATCAGGCCTCTGCCTCTTCTGCTTCCATCACCCACATTCCATGATCCGTCCCTCTCCCACCCGCCCCACTTCATTACGCGCAGAACGACGGTGCAGTGCTGACGGGACGGTGGTGTTTAGGAATTTCGAATTCCCTGCCTTGATGTTCCGTTCTCCTTACACATCTCTCATCTTGTTCACCCTCCCTGCAATCCTCGTTCCTGCCTGCCTCCCACAACATTACGTGCAGAACGACGGTCCAGTGCTGACGGTGGTGGGGAAGAATTTCAAGGACATTGTAATGGACAGGAGCAAGGACGTGCTACTCAAGGTAACTGCAAACTCGCTCTTGCAAGCACCCTGTATGTCTAAATACGTTTTGCGTGACTGCAGGAGAAAACAATTCGCTGCAGGAGAAAACAATTCGCTGCACGAGAAAACAATTCGCTGATTCAAGGACATGGTAATCGACAGGAGGACCAAGGACATGCTGCTCAAGGTATCTATCGCCCACGTGAACTCTGCTTATCGCCCACGTGAACTCTGCTTATCGCCCACGTGAACTCTGCTTATCGCCCACGTGAACTCTGCTTATCGCCCACGTGAAATCTGCTTATCGCCCACGTGAACTCTGCTTATCGCCCACGTGAACTCTGCTTATCGCCCACGTGAACTCTGCTTATCGCCCACGTGAACTCTGCTTATCGCCCACGTGAAATCTGCTTATCGCCCACGTGAACTCTGCTTATCGCCCACGTGAACTCTGCTTATCGCCCACGTGAACTCTGCTTATCGCCCACGTGAACTCTGCTTATCGCCCACGTGAACTCTGCTTATCGCCCACGTGAACTCTGCTTATCGCCCACGTGAAATCTGCTTATCGCCCACGTGAACTCTGCTTATCGCCCACGTGAACTCTGCTTATCGCCCACGTGAACTCTGCTTATCGCCCACGTGAACTCTGCTTATCGCCCACGTGAACTCTGCTTATCGCCCACGTGAACTCTGCTTATCGCCCACGTGAACTCTGCTTATCGCCCACGTGAACTCTGCTTATCGCCCACGTGAACTCTGCTTATCGCCCACGTGAAATCTGCTTATCGCCCACGTGAACTCTGCTTATCGCCCACGTGAACTCTGCTTATCGCCCACGTGAACTCTGCTTATCGCCCACGTGAACTCTGCTTATCGCCCACGTGAACTCTGCTTATCGCCCACGTGAACTCTGCTTATCGCCCACGTGAAATCTGCTTATCGCCCACGTGAACTCTGCTTATCGCCCACGTGAACTCTGCTTATCGCCCACGTGAACTCTGCTTATCGCCCACGTGAACTCTGCTTATCGCCCACGTGAACTCTGCTTATCGCCCACGTGAACTCTGCTTATCGCCCACGTGAACTCTGCTTATCGCCCACGTGAACTCTGCTTATCGCCCACGTGAACTCTGCTTATCGCCCACGTGAAATCTGCTTATCGCCCACGTGAACTCTGCTTATCGCCCACGTGAACTCTGCTTATCGCCCACGTGAACTCTGCTTATCGCCCACGTGAACTCTGCTTATCGCCCACGTGAACTCTGCTTATCGCCCACGTGAACTCTGCTTATCGCCCACGTGAACTCTGCTTATCGCCCACGTGAACTCTGCTTATCGCCCACGTGAACTCTGCTTATCGCCCACGTGAACTCTGCTTATCGCCCACGTGAACTCTGCTTATCGCCCACGTGAACTCTGCTTATCCCTCTTTGCTGTGCCGTGGCTGGCCTTTGCCCGCATAAACGCCGAGTCCCTCAGGTGACTCAGAACCCACTTCAACTCCCTTCCACACCGCACCACCACCACTACCCTCCAGGTTGATGTGGATCACTGTCAGGACTGCACGGATCTTGACCCCACCTTCAAGAAGCTCGCTCTCAAGTTCTCGGACGCTCCCTCTCACCCAACAACAACTCCCCCCTCCCCTCACATCCTCATATAGACGTGGATCACTGTGACGACTGCACGGACCTCCACCCCACCTTCAAGAAGCTCGTGTCTGAACTCAAGTCCCCTAGGCGTCTCAAGCCCTCTTCAACTCACTTTCACCACACACGCCCCTCCCTCTCCTCACCCCTGCAGATCGACGTGGATCACTGTGACGACTGCACAGACCTCCACCCCACCTTCAAGAATCTCGCCATTGAGTTCTCGGACATGCCTTGCCTTCACCTCTAAGAAGCTCGCGCTCAAGTTCCATGACGCACCCTCACTGGCCTTTGCACGCATGAACACGGGCTCCCTCTGGTGATTGACACACAGCCCTCTTTCTCCAACTCCCTTCCCTCCCCCCCTCTCTTTCTGAAGATCGGCGTGGATCACTGTGACGACTGCACAGACCTCGATCCCACCGTTAAGAAGCTCGCTATCAAGTTCCTTGACGTGCCCTCACACCCCACACGCCCCTCCTCCCCTGCCCTCCGCAGATCGACGTGGATCACTGTGACGACTGCACCGACCTCGATCCCACCTTTAAGAAGCTCGCCTTGTAGTTCTCTGATGTGCCCTCGCTCGTCTTTGCACGCATGAGCACGGGCTCCCTCTGGTGACTCACAGCCCTCTTTCTCCAACTCCCTTCCTCCCACCCCGCTTCCCCTACAGATTGACGTGGATCACTGTGACGACTGCACCGATCTTGACCCCACCTTCAAGAAGCTTGCCATCAAGTTCTCGGGTGCGCCCTCGCTCGTCTTTGCGCGGATGAACGCGCGCAACAACGAGTACCCGGGCCTGGAGGTGAGTGGCTGATTCACTCAACGAGTAGGTGGGATTGAGTGTGTGTGAGTGCCATGCGCTGCATTCCCTTCTCCCAAGCTCACCACCTGTGTGCCCTCACTTTCCTTTGCTCGCATGAACGCACGCTACAACAAATACCCGGGCCTGGATGTGAGTAACTTACTGGCCATGCTGGTTACTGAACAATCACCAGACTGGTTAACAGCTAGGAATTTACAACCAACAGTACATTGAGTTTTTTCTTCCCAGCACTGCCCATAGGTTTCACACTTCGGTGTCTTTTCACGTTCTTGTGGTGTTTTTTTCACGTTCTTGTGTTCTTCCCACCCATTACCCGCCCTGGCAGCACCTTCCCAGCCCACCCATCCACTAACCACCCTCCCTGAACACCACTCCCCCCCCATCTCCCAACCGCCAGGTGTCGGCCTTCCCCACACTGCTGCTCTACCCCGCCAATCGAAAGTCTGACCCGGTATGTCCTTACAGTATCGATTCACATACAGAAAATACACTGCAGACACACAGCACATACAGCACAGAGAGCAAATAAAGAACATACAGCACTTAAAGCATGACTCACCCACTAGGTGTCGGCCTTCCCCACGCTGCCGCTCTACCCCGCCAATCAAAAGTCTGATCCGGTACGCCCATACAGCTCAATTCACATGAAGCACATACACACCTCTGTTTGTTCCATTGGGGTTGACCCTTCATTGTGCAGATCGACACTCACCACACTCGCCTCGGCCCGTTGACCGATTTTGTGGCGAAGGGGTGTTAGAAAGCCTTTCTTAATCCTTCTATGCCTGTCTCAACTCATGTTTGTGTTGTGACTGTGCTGCAGATCGACACTCACCACACTCGCCTCGGCCCGTTGACCGACTTTGTTGTGCGGAACTCTGCCATTCCAGTTAAGATGCCTTCTGACATGCCGTCTCAGAGGCCGTCCCAGCGCTCCAGGTCCAAGGAGGAGGCGGAAGAGGAGAAGGAGATTCGCCGTGATCTTGAGGAGGCAAAGGCGCCGAAAAAAGGGTCTCATGATGAGCTTTGATTCTGGTCATCGCCTCGCCACTTATTTGAATGAATGCTCGGAGGCAGTAAAATCGATAGAGCTCGGATTTGCATTGATTTCTGTGCTCCCGGGGTGCATGGTACTGTGTACACTGCATGAGTTAACCCATCAGGAAGCTGACCGATCTAAAAGAAAGGAGAGAAAATGCTTATCCTTAAGTTGTGACTTTTGTTGCGGTTATGGTGTACATCATACATCGTATTTTTTCCTTATACATACTGAGTGGGCTTGTGGTGGTTCAAGGAGTGTCGGCATAGCGGGAATTTCTCGAACCAAAGACGCGCCAAAAACACCCATGCCTGACTGACAAACGGAGCGGCCAGCAGAGCGAAGCGTTACCGACGGGCCCAATTGGGTCCAGACCGAACCTCCTCACAAGGCAGCGACACGGAAACTAAACGAGAGCCGAACCCCCTCACCTTGCTTAGTTTTGAACTGCTAGAAGCCACGATTTCGGAGCTGCCCTTCAAAGGTCTTACCTCACTAAAGGTCACGCAATCTCGCCAACGATTGGTTCTTCGTGCTTCTGGATACTCTCTCCGTGCCGAACGTTGCCCGTAAAACTTCTGAAGGTAATTTTCTGCTGGGTTTCCTATCCGTCAAACCCACAAAAACGGTTCTCGGTTCAGACAGCCTTAGGTTTTCCACAAGGCTGTAGTTTGTGTTCAGAATGTGGAGACAGCTTTGACTTCATTTTTCAAGGAGCAGGCTGTAGTTAGTTTCCTCGCAAATTGCGATCTGCGGAGGTGGTGGATACGTGGTTTGCTGTGTGGACTTTGTTCGAGTTACGAAGCTAGCGTCGTCTCAGACCTTTCGTGAAGACTCTTGTTTAAATGTGCGGGAACGCCATTGTAACACCATTGCATACTATGACTGTTGCTCTAACACCGTACCCCCGGAGACCTAGGTAGTCTTAATTTGTGTTATTTTTTTACCCGGGATTATTGTTTGTAGAAGGGATTTCGTAAGGAATCTCGGTGCAAATGGCAGTAGGGTACAAAGGAAAGCCGTTGTTTAGAGGCTCAGCTAAGAGCCACTCGAGTCGCGGAAAATTATTAGTACCCGCGACGGTCGCGCTGCTAGCAGCGGTCGGCGTGCTACACTACTACTCTTACCTTAAGGGCCACCATGCTACTAACGAGTTCGCCAATATCGAAGGTGTCATACGACGGGAGCTAGTGGACCAGCGATCGGATCCCGAATGCCACGTCGACCCTAGTCCTGCCACGTGTCAGCACATCGACCTCGTCGCGTTTGCCACGGTCAGTGGACCTTCCTTGGATGATTCTCGCAGCAAGCTCGTTATTGCCATCCCCAAGGCCATCACGACATGCTTGCTCGGAGTAGAGTGCCTAATTCCTGAATTTCTGCGTCGCGCTTCTATGCCACCGGACTCTGTCGTGAGAGATTTCTGACAATTGTGAGAATTGTCGACATTCAAAGAGGCAGCGAGAGATTTCTGAGAATAATAATAATAGGTAATGTGGTATACATTACCCAAAAGGGATCTGTTCTCTTCGTGCCCTTTTGTTTGCCTCGAGCCCATCATCTTTCCTCCCTCCTTCTCTTCTCTCCATTTCTCTCCACCTCCCCTCCTTGGTTTTTCTCGCCTCTCGCTCACCCTCCTTTCCTCCTCTCACCACTCCCACTTCCCCCTCCTCTTTCTCGTTTCCTTCGCGCACCCTTCTCCCTTTTCCCACCTTTTCCTCCTCCCCCAGCGCCTGGCGACTGTGTGTGTGGCGCACGTCGTAGCAGCAGTGCACCAGCTGACCGTGCGAGTGCTCTTGCCCACCAACGGTTTCCTCGCGGCTTCCTTCCCCCTCTTTCCCTCCTTCTCCCCTTGCTTCCCTCCTCCTCTTTCATCTCTCAGGGTCCCATACCCCAGCGCCTGGAGACTGTGTGTGTGGAGCACGCGGTAGCAGCAGTGCACCAGCTCACCGTGCTAGTGCTCTGGCTCACCAACGGTTCCTATTTCCCTCCTTCCTTCTCTTCCCCTCCTTTTCCCTCATCCCGCAGGGTCCCATACCCCAGCGCCTGGAGACGCTGTGTTTGGCGCACGCGGTAGCAGCAGTGCACCAGCTCACCGTGCGAGTGCTCTGGCTCACAGATGAGCCACCAGCAAGCCAACAACAGCCGCAGCAGCAGCAGCAGCAGAGGCAGAGGGCAGGCATGCCATACGTGCCGTTCTCAGCCCTGTTTGAGCCGGCGCTGACGGTGGTGGAGACGAATCTCTCTGCTGCTGACGCCACCAGGAGGTTCATCCACGAGCTCTTCACTCCCAAGGCGGTGAGTGCAGTGCGGTGTAGTGCGGTGCGGTGCAGTGCGGTGAGTGGGAGCATAAGGCGGGCCATTCTCGGCCCTGTTTGAACCGGCGCTGACGGTGGTGGAGACGAATCTCTCCGCTGCTGATGCCACCAGGCAGTTCATTCACGAGCTCTTCACGCCCAAAGCGGTGAGTGCAGTGCGGTGTAGTGTGGTGCGGTGTAGTGCAGTGCGGTGTGATGCAGTGTAGTTCAGTGAGTGGGAGTGATGGGCATGCCAGCAACAGCAGTCCGCTGCTGATGCCACACGGTTCATCCACGAGCTTCACTCCCAAGGCGGTGAGTGCAGTGTGGTGTAGTGCGGTGTAGTGCAGTGCGGTGTAGTGCGCTGTAGTGTGGTGTTGTGCAGTGCGGTGAGTACAGTGCGGTGCATGTAGTGGGAGTGAGGGTCATGCCAGCAGCAACAGGCTGCTGATGCCACCAGGCGGTTCATCCACGAGCTCTTCACTCCCAAGGCGGTAAGTGCAGTGCGGTGCAGTGCAGTGCGGTGTAGTGCGGTGTAGTGTGGTGTAGTGTGGTGAGTGGGAGCACAAGGCGGGCTGTTCTCGTCCCGGCCCTGTTTGAGCCGGCGCTGACGGTGGTGGAGACGAATCTCTCCGCTGCTGATGCCACGCGGCGGTTCATTCACGAGCTCTTCGCGCCCAAGGCGGTGAGTGCAGGGCAGGGCGTGGGATGGAATGGGGTGGGAGGGCTGGGGTGGGGTGAGTGACAGCACATGGCAGCATAGGGCGGGAGGTTCATCCACGAGGATAAGATGGAATGCGATGAGTGCAGGTCAGGGCAGTGGAGAGCTCGGGATGAGTGAGAGCGATGTGTATGCCACACGACCAAGGCGGTGAGAGCAAGGAAGGGCATGGTAGAGCATGGGATGAGTGGGAGCACATGGGCATTCCCACCAAAGTGGTGAGTGCAGTGCGCTGCATGGCAGAGCAGTGGATGTGATGAGTGAGAATGATGGGCATGTCACACGCTCAAGGTGTTTAATAGATTGCCTTCAGCGTAGATTCTTGTATGGATAATTTCATTCGATCGTTGGTGGTGCGCCACAGTTGTCTACTCTTGCAGTGAGTGCATGGCAGAGCACTGGATGGGTGGAGTTGCAACCTGTTTTCATTCCCCTTGCTGCTCCTTCCTTCCCTTCTTACCCCCTCACAGCACCAGTATGACCCGTGCTTCCGATTCACTTGGGTGCGAATCCAACGAGCATCAGAGTGTATCATAAGTCCTTCCATCTCCCTTTTCCCCTCTCTCCATTTCCCTCCCTTCCCTTCCCTTTCTTTCCCCCCCTTTCCCTTTCTTTCGCTCCCCTTCCCCTCTGTCCCCTCCCCTCGCAGCACCAGTACGGCTCATGCTTCCGAGACACGTGGGAGCGAATCCAACGAGCATCCGATGGTTCGCTGCTTCCCTCACGCTCTTCTCTCTATCTTGCTTCGCTCCTTACACCCTTCGCTTCTCCCCCTCCTGCATTCTTTCCCCCTCGCAGCACGACTACGCCCGTGCTTCCGAGACACGTGGGAGCGAATCCAGCAAGCATCAGTATGCTCTGTACAGCCTTGACCCTCATCCCCCCCTTCCCCCCTACCCTCCCTCCCCCTCCCACGCTATCCTCCCTGCCCCTCCTCACAGCACCAGTACGGCCCGTGCTTCCGAGACACGTGGGAGCACATTCAAAGAGCATCAGTGTGTAAAATGCCTTCTCTCGATTCCCTTCCCTTTCTTCCCTTCCCGTCATCTCCCCTCAGCACCAATACGGCCCATGCTTCCGAGACACGTGGGAGCGCATCCAGCGAGCATCAATGTGTATTGTGAGACTGTGACCCTTACTGCTCTTTCTTCCCTTCCATCCCTTTCCCCCACTCTCCCCCCTCGCAGCACCAATACGGCCCGTCTCTTCGAGACACGTGGGAGCGCATTCGGCGAGCATCCGTGTGTATCGTGAGACCTTGACCGTCATCCCCCCTTCTTCCCCTTTCACCCCTCCCCATCCCTCTCTATCCTCTGTTCCCTCGCAGCACCAATACGGCCCGTGCTTCCGAGACACGTGGGAGCGCATTTGGCGAGCATCAGCACGCAATAACGCCTTCCCCCGCTCCTCCTCTGCTGACGCTGACTCAGACTCGGACTCTGCTGACTCGGATTCCGACTCGGCTGACTCGGATCCAGACTCTGCTGACTTAGACGGAGCCTCGGATGCAGGGGGGTTGGGGGGGGGCGGCGGCGCACGCGGTAAAGGTACCGAGGAGGCTTATAGCGAGGATGAGCCGGTGCCGGTGTCTATGTGGACGGGTGAGCTGGACAGCCAGGAGGTGGCGGGGCGGCCCTTGGGATTGCCGCGGAAGCTGACTCTGCATGGGTGGTTCCGCACTGATTCCGTGCAGCGCAGTAGTGTGGTGAGTGGTTGAGAGGGATAGGCAGAGGTGCAGTGGGACTGAGTGTTGGGAATAAACCTCACAGGGGAAGTGGTGTGGTGAGTGGTTGAGAGGGATAGGCAGAGATGCAGTGACTGTGAGCTGCTTAGCTGGACAGCCATGAGGAGGCTTATAGCGAGGATGAACCAGTCCCGGCGTCGATGTGGACGGGTGAGCTGGACCGTGAGGAGGTGGGGGGGCGGCCCTTGGGATTGCCGCGGAAGCTGACTCTGCATGGGTGGTTCCGCACTGATTCCGTGCAGCGCAGTAGTGTGGTGAGTGGTTGAGAGGGATAGGCAGAGATGCAGTGGTATTGGGTGGGCGAGCTGGGCAGTCTGGAGGTGGCGGGGCGGCCCTTGGGATTGCCGAGGAACCTCACTCTGCACGGGTGGTTTCGGATGGATTCTGTTCAACGCAGCAGTGTGGTCAGTGGGTGACGGGGTGGGGAGTGTATAGCTGTTACAGGCAGCTGCCGGCAGTTACAAGCTGATAACCCAATAGCCCTTGGGATTGCCGAGGAAGCTGACTCTGCATGGCTGGTTCCGGACGGATTCCGTTCAATGCAGCAGTGTGGTGAGTGGTGGTTGAGAGGGATAGGCAGAGGTGCAGTGGTATTGGGTGGGTGAGCTGGACAGTTGGGAGGTGGCGGGGCGGCCCTTGGGATTGCCGTGGAAGCTGACTCTGCATGGGTGGTTCCAGTCTAATTCCCTGCAGCGTAGCTCCGTGGTGAGTGGGTAGCTCTCGCATGCTGACACAGGCAAATACAGGCTGCTTCAAGCTGATAGCGTAATAGCCCTTGGGATTGCCGAGAAACCTGACTCTGCATGGGTGGTTCCGCACTGATTCCCTGCAGCGCAGTAGCGTGGTGAGTGGTTGAGAGGGATAGGACTGATTCCCTGCAACTCAGCAATGTGGTGAGTAGTGGTTGAGAGGGATTCGACTAATTCTCTGCAGCGCAGCACTGTGGTGAGTGCCTAGGAGGAGTGGGGGCGAGTGTGGGATTATGGCCACGCGTGCACTCTGCCATCTGCCCTTGCTGTTGCGTTGGCACAATAAAGGGCAGGCTGCAAGTGTCCCCTTGCCTTGCCTGTGTTCCTTGCTCCTGTCTCCCTGTGACAAAAGGATTGACAGGAGGAGCGAGTGTGGGGTGGCTGCTGTGGGCGCGAGTGCACTCTGCTTTCTGCCACTTGCTGTTGCGTTGGCACAACAAGCCGCTTGCCTTGCTTATCTCTGCTTCTCCCCTGCTTCTGCTCTTGCTCCTTCTCCCACTTCTGCCTCTGTCACCACCATCAACAGGAGGACTGGCAGGAGGAGCGCGTGGGATGTCTGGTGTGGGCGCACGTGCAAAGGTGCTACGAGCGGCTGCAGCCCTCCCCTGCTGTGGCGGCGATGGTGCGAGAGGAGGGGGTCAACAGCACACGCGTGGAGGGCAGCATTGGCGTGTACCTGGATGTGAGTCACTGCATGGTGTTTTGTGGTGCGTTAGGCTGCTGCAGCCCTCAACAGCACACGAGTGGAGGGCAGCATTGGCGTGTACCTGGATGTGAGTCACTGCACAGAATCACCTGGTAGGTATCTCTACGAGTTACAAATGCCAGGGTGCTGCACCCTTCACCTGCTGTGGCGACGATGGTGCGAGAGGAGGGGGTCAACAGCACACGCGTGGAGAGCAGCATTGGCGTGTACCTGGATGTGAGTCATTGCATCGCACCTGCACCTGGATGTGAGTGGGTGGGAGCACCGCACTGCACCGCACTGAATGCACAGTACTCAAGTGATCGTACCCACTTGGTAGGTCAGTTTCTCTGTTGCTGCCAGGCTGCACCTCTCAAATGGATGTGAGTGGGAGCACCGCACCGCACTGCACTGCACTGCACTGCACTGCACTGAATGCACAGTACTCAAGTGGTCGTACCCACCTGGTAGGTCAGTTTCTATGGCATCAGAGGCACCTGCCCCGGCTGCCCCACCCCTCTCAATCCTGCCCACTCTGCCACCTCGTTTCTCCTCCCCTCCCTGCTTTCAAACCAAGGTGACTTTTGAGTCAACTCAAAAGTCACAGAGGGACCTGCCCCGGCTGCCCCACCCCTCTCAATCCTGCCCACTCTGCCACCTCGTTTCTCCCCCCCTCCCTGCTTTCAAACCCGCCTCCTTCCCCTTGCCACCCCCCCTCGTACCACACATACCTGCAGGCTTTTGAGATTTCTCAAAAACCACCCCCCGAGGCACCTGCCCCGGCTGCCCTTCCTCTCTCAATCCTTCCCATCCCACTGTGCCGCGCGAACCCTCGCCCTCACCATGCCCCACCGCGCTCTCTTCCTTCCTTTGATTCACTTCACCTTCTATTTGTTTTTCTTTTTTCTTTCCTTTCCCCACCCTCTTCCCCACCATACACAAACAGGCCACCCCACCAGGCACCTGCCCCGGCTGTCCCTCCTCTCTCAATCCTGCCGACTGTACCACCACCCCTGCATCTTCCTCTGTGTCCTGAACCCCACCCACGCCCCTCCCCTCCTTCCCTGCCCCCTGCAGGCCACCCCCAGAGGCACCTGCCCCGGCTGTCCCTCCTCTCTCAATCCTGCCGACTGTGCCGCCCGCACGCTCGCCCTGACCATGCTCCACCGCCCGTCGATCGACTTCACGCTCGGCTCCGCCGCCCAGTCGCACCCGGCGCACATCGTCTCTTTCTTTGATGCCGACCGCGCGCCGTACGTGTCGCCGTCCGCCGCGTTCCGGGCTGCAAACTGCGGCGAGAAGCTGGTGCAGGCGATGGGGGAGAAGGGGGAGGGGGCGGCTGAGAGGCTGGCGGAATTGGTGCTGACTTGCAAGCAGCGAGAGGTAAGAGCAGTTGCCTCTTGAATCCTTCACTCCCTCCTCTTCCTCCTCTCTCACTCTTTCTGTTCAACTGGCAAGCTGCGGGGAGGCTGGGGCAGATGATGGGGGAGAAGGGGGAGGGAGCAGCTGAGAGGCTGGCTGAACTGGTGGTGACTTGCAAGCAGCGAGAGGTGAGAAGAAACAGATTGTTTGTCCATCCCCGTTCGCTGAGTGGCAAACTGCAGGGAGAAGCTGGTACAGGCGATGGGGGATAAGGGAGAGGGTGCGGCTGAGAGGCTGGCAGAATTGGTGGTAACATGCAAGCAACGAGAGGTAAGAACACCTGCCTCTTGAATCCCTTCCCTGCCTCCTCTTCCTCCTCTCTCACTCTTTCTGTTCAACTGGCAAGCTGCGGGGAGAGGCTCGTTCAGGCGATGGGGGATAAGGGGGAGGGCGCAGCTGAGAGGCTGGCTGAACTGGTGGTGACTTGCAAGCAGCGAGAGGTGGGAACAGATAGTACGAACACTCCCTTCCTTCCCTTGTCTCCTCCCCATATGCACCCTTGGCTCTCACATTTGCTCTCCAGCTGGCTGATCTCTTACTGCTGGCCCAGACCACCGGTCTGGTGGTGATGGAGCTGGTTTTTGAGAATTCTAAAGAACCAGCACGCTCTCATTACAGCGAGGGGGAGGCGCCGCCTTCTGTTCCCGTCTTGCTTCTCCCACCCCTCCACCCCCAGGTCGCTGATCTCTTCCTGCTCGCGCCGACAACGGGCCTCGCGGTGATGGAGCCGAGCACCCTCTCAGACTTCATCGCAGCGAGGGAGAGTCACTGCCTGCCCTCCTTCTATTTTGCCTCACCTTCCGTCCCTGACTTGCATCTTTCCTCATCCACCTCTATTGCCTGCAGGTGGCGGATCTCTTCCTGCTGGCGCAGGCAACCGGCCTTGTGGTGATGGAGCCAAGCACCCTCTCAGACTTCATCGCAGCGAGGGGGAGACGCCGCCTTCTGCCTTCCCTCTTGCCCACCTGCTGCCTTCTCTCTCTTGTGCCCTCCCCCAGGTGGCTGATCTCTTCCTGCTTGCGCAAACCACGGGCCTCGTGGTGATGGAGCCAAGCACGCTCTCAGACTTCATCGCAGCGAGGGGGAGGCACCACCTGCTGCCCTCCTCCGTGCCCACCTGCTGCCTTTTCTCTTGTTCCTGTCTTGCTTCTCCCACACCCAGGTCGCGGATCTCTTTCTTCTCGCCCAGACGACGGGGCTCGTGGTGATGGAGCCAAGCACGCTCTCAGACTTCATCGCAGCGAGGGGGAGGCACCACCTGCTGCCCTCCTCCGTGCCCACCTGCTGCCTTTTCTCTTGTTCCTGTCTTGCTTCTCCCACACCCAGGTCGCGGATCTCTTTCTTCTCGCCCAGACGACGGGGCTCGTGGTGATGGAGCCAAGCACGCTCTCAGACTTCATCGCAGCGAGGGGGAGGCACCACCTGCTGCCCTCCTCCGTGCCCACCTGCTGCCTTTTCTCTTGTTCCTGTCTTGCTTCTCCCACACCCAGGTCGCGGATCTCTTTCTTCTCGCCCAGACGACGGGGCTCGTGGTGATGGAGCCAAGCACGCTCTCAGACTTCATCGCAGCGAGGGGGAGGCACCACCTGCTGCCCTCCTCCGTGCCCACCTGCTGCCTTTTCTCTTGTTCCTGTCTTGCTTCTCCCACACCCAGGTCGCGGATCTCTTTCTTCTCGCCCAGACGACGGGGCTCGTGGTGATGGAGCCAAGCACGCTCTCAGACTTCATCGCAGCGAGGGGGAGGCACCACCTGCTGCCCTCCTCCGTGCCCACCTGCTGCCTTTTCTCTTGTTCCTGTCGCAGCGAGGGGGAGGCACCACCTGCTGCCCTCCTCCGTGCCCACCTGCTGCCTTTTCTCTTGTTCCTGTCTTGCTTCTCCCACACCCAGGTCGCGGATCTCTTTCTTCTCGCCCAGACGACGGGGCTCGTGGTGATGGAGCCAAGCACGCTCTCAGACTTCATCGCAGCGAGGGGGAGGCACCACCTGCTGCCCTCCTCCGTGCCCACCTGCTGCCTTTTCTCTTGTTCCTGTCTTGCTTCTCCCACACCCAGGTCGCGGATCTCTTTCTTCTCGCCCAGACGACGGGGCTCGTGGTGATGGAGCCAAGCACGCTCTCAGACTTCATCGCAGCGAGGGGGAGGCACCACCTGCTGCCCTCCTCCGTGCCCACCTGCTGCCTTTTCTCTTGTTCCTGTCTTGCTTCTCCCACACCCAGGTCGCGGATCTCTTTCTTCTCGCCCAGACGACGGGGCTCTTGGTGATGGAGCCAAGCACGCTCTCAGACTTCATCGCAGCGAGGGGGAGGCACCACCTGCTGCCCTCCTCCGTGCCCACCTGCTGCCTTTTCTCTTGTTCCTGTCGCAGCGAGGGGGAGGCACCACCTGCTGCCCTCCTCCGTGCCCACCTGCTGCCTTTTCTCTTGTTCCTGTCGCAGCGAGGGGGAGGCACCACCTGCTGCCCTCCTCCGTGCCCACCTGCTGCCTTTTCTCTTGTTCCTGTCTTGCTTCTCCCACACCCAGGTCGCGGATCTCTTTCTTCTCGCCCAGACGACGGGGCTCGTGGTGATGGAGCCAAGCACGCTCTCAGACTTCATCGCAGCGAGGGGGAGGCACCACCTGCTGCCCTCCTCCGTGCCCACCTGCTGCCTTTTCTCTTGTTCCTGTCGCAGCGAGGGGGAGGCACCACCTGCTGCCCTCCTCCGTGCCCACCTGCTGCCTTTTCTCTTGTTCCTGTCTTGCTTCTCCCACACCCAGGTCGCGGATCTCTTTCTTCTCGCCCAGACGACGGGGCTCGTGGTGATGGAGCCAAGCACGCTCTCAGACTTCATCGCAGCGAGGGGGAGGCACCACCTGCTGCCCTCCTCCGTGCCCACCTGCTGCCTTTTCTCTTGTTCCTGTCGCAGCGAGGGGGAGGCACCACCTGCTGCCCTCCTCCGTGCCCACCTGCTGCCTTTTCTCTTGTTCCTGTCTTGCTTCTCCCACACCCAGGTCGCGGATCTCTTTCTTCTCGCCCAGACGACGGGGCTCGTGGTGATGGAGCCAAGCACGCTCTCAGACTTCATCGCAGCGAGGGGGAGGCACCACCTGCTGCCCTCCTCCGTGCCCACCTGCTGCCTTTTCTCTTGTTCCTGTCTTGCTTCTCCCACACCCAGGTCGCGGATCTCTTTCTTCTCGCCCAGACGACGGGGCTCGTGGTGATGGAGCCAAGCACGCTCTCAGACTTCATCGCAGCGAGGGGGAGGCACCACCTGCTGCCCTCCTCCGTGCCCACCTGCTGCCTTTTCTCTTGTTCCTGTCTTGCTTCTCCCACACCCAGGTCGCGGATCTCTTTCTTCTCGCCCAGACGACGGGGCTCGTGGTGATGGAGCCAAGCACGCTCTCAGACTTCATCGCAGCGAGGGGGAGGCACCACCTGCTGCCCTCCTCCGTGCCCACCTGCTGCCTTTTCTCTTGTTCCTGTCTTGCTTCTCCCACACCCAGGTCGCGGATCTCTTTCTTCTCGCCCAGACGACGGGGCTCGTGGTGATGGAGCCAAGCACGCTCTCAGACTTCATCGCAGCGAGGGGGAGGCACCACCTGCTGCCCTCCTCCGTGCCCACCTGCTGCCTTTTCTCTTGTTCCTGTCTTGCTTCTCCCACACCCAGGTCGCGGATCTCTTTCTTCTCGCCCAGACGACGGGGCTCGTGGTGATGGAACCAAGCACGCTCTCAGACTTCATCGCAGCGAGGGGGAGGCACCACCTGCTGCCCTCCTCCGTGCCCACCTGCTGCCTTTTCTCTTGTTCCTGTCTTGCTTCTCCCACACCCAGGTCGCGGATCTCTTTCTTCTCGCCCAGACGACGGGGCTCGTGGTGATGGAGCCAAGCACGCTCTCAGACTTCATCGCAGCGAGGGGGAGGCACCACCTGCTGCCCTCCTCCGTGCCCACCTGCTGCCTTTTCTCTTGTTCCTGTCTTGCTTCTCCCACACCCAGGTCGCGGATCTCTTTCTTCTCGCCCAGACGACGGGGCTCGTGGTGATGGAGCCAAGCACGCTCTCAGACTTCATCGCAGCGAGGGGGAGGCACCACCTGCTGCCCTCCTCCGTGCCCACCTGCTGCCTTTTCTCTTGTTCCTGTCTTGCTTCTCCCACACCCAGGTCGCGGATCTCTTTCTTCTCGCCCAGACGACGGGGCTCTTGGTGATGGAGCCAAGCACGCTCTCAGACTTCATCGCAGCGAGGGGGAGGCACCACCTGCTGCCCTCCTCCGTGCCCACCTGCTGCCTTTTCTCTTGTTCCTGTCGCAGCGAGGGGGAGGCACCACCTGCTGCCCTCCTCCGTGCCCACCTGCTGCCTTTTCTCTTGTTCCTGTCTTGCTTCTCCCACACCCAGGTCGCGGATCTCTTTCTTCTCGCCCAGACGACGGGGCTCGTGGTGATGGAGCCAAGCACGCTCTCAGACTTCATCGCAGCGAGGGGGAGGCACCACCTGCTGCCCTCCTCCGTGCCCACCTGCTTCCTTTTCTCTTGTTCCTGTCTTGCTTCTCCCACACCCAGGTCGCGGATCTCTTTCTTCTCGCCCAGACGACGGGGCTCGTGGTGATGGAGCCAAGCACGCTCTCAGACTTCATCGCAGCGAGGGGGAGGCACCACCTGCTGCCCTCCTCCGTGCCCACCTGCTGCCTTTTCTCTTGTTCCTGTCGCAGCGAGGGGGAGGCACCACCTGCTGCCCTCCTCCGTGCCCACCTGCTGCCTTTTCTCTTGTTCCTGTCTTGCTTCTCCCACACCCAGGTCGCGGATCTCTTTCTTCTCGCCCAGACGACGGGGCTCGTGGTGATGGAGCCAAGCACGCTCTCAGACTTCATCGCAGCGAGGGGGAGGCACCACCTGCTGCCCTCCTCCGTGCCCACCTGCTGCCTTTTCTCTTGTTCCTGTCGCAGCGAGGGGGAGGCACCACCTGCTGCCCTCCTCCGTGCCCACCTGCTGCCTTTTCTCTTGTTCCTGTCGCAGCGAGGGGGAGGCACCACCTGCTGCCCTCCTCCGTGCCCACCTGCTGCCTTTTCTCTTGTTCCTGTCTTGCTTCTCCCACACCCAGGTCGCGGATCTCTTTCTTCTCGCCCAGACGACGGGGCTCTTGGTGATGGAGCCAAGCACGCTCTCAGACTTCATCGCAGCGAGGGGGAGGCACCACCTGCTGCCCTCCTCCGTGCCCACCTGCTGCCTTTTCTCTTGTTCCTGTCGCAGCGAGGGGGAGGCACCACCTGCTGCCCTCCTCCGTGCCCACCTGCTGCCTTTTCTCTTGTTCCTGTCGCAGCGAGGGGGAGGCACCACCTGCTGCCCTCCTCCGTGCCCACCTGCTGCCTTTTCTCTTGTTCCTGTCTTGCTTCTCCCACACCCAGGTCGCGGATCTCTTTCTTCTCGCCCAGACGACGGGGCTCGTGGTGATGGAGCCAAGCACGCTCTCAGACTTCATCGCAGCGAGGGGGAGGCACCACCTGCTGCCCTCCTCCGTGCCCACCTGCTGCCTTTTCTCTTGTTCCTGTCGCAGCGAGGGGGAGGCACCACCTGCTGCCCTCCTCCGTGCCCACCTGCTGCCTTTTCTCTTGTTCCTGTCGCAGCGAGGGGGAGGCACCACCTGCTGCCCTCCTCCGTGCCCACCTGCTGCCTTTTCTCTTGTTCCTGTCGCAGCGAGGGGGAGGCACCACCTGCTGCCCTCCTCCGTGCCCACCTGCTGCCTTTTCTCTTGTTCCTGTCGCAGCGAGGGGGAGGCACCACCTGCTGCCCTCCTCCGTGCCCACCTGCTGCCTTTTCTCTTGTTCCTGTCGCAGCGAGGGGGAGGCACCACCTGCTGCCCTCCTCCGTGCCCACCTGCTGCCTTTTCTCTTGTTCCTGTCGCAGCGAGGGGGAGGCACCACCTGCTGCCCTCCTCCGTGCCCACCTTCATCGCAGCGAGGGGGAGGCACCACCTGCTGCCCTCCTCCGTGCCCACCTTCATCGCAGCGAGGGGGAGGCACCACCTGCTGCCCTCCTCCGTGCCCACCTTCATCGCAGCGAGGGGGAGGCACCACCTGCTGCCCTCCTCCGTGCCCACCTTCATCGCAGCGAGGGGGAGGCACCACCTGCTGCCCTCCTCCGTGCCCACCTTCATCGCAGCGAGGGGGAGGCACCACCTGCTGCCCTCCTCCGTGCCAACCTTCATCGCAGCGAGGGGGAGGCACCACCTGCTGCCCTCCTCCGTGCCCACCTTCATCGCAGCGAGGGGGAGGCACCACCTGCTGCCCTCCTCCGTGCCCACCTTCATCGCAGCGAGGGGGAGGCACCACCTGCTGCCCTCCTCCGTGCCCACCTTCATCGCAGCGAGGGGGAGGCACCACCTGCTGCCCTCCTCCGTGCCCACCTTCATCGCAGCGAGGGGGAGGCACCACCTGCTGCCCTCCTCCGTGCCCACCTTCATCGCAGCGAGGGGGAGGCACCACCTGCTGCCCTCCTCCGTGCCCACCTTCATCGCAGCGAGGGGGAGGCACCACCTGCTGCCCTCCTCCGTGCCCACCTTCATCGCAGCGAGGGGGAGGCACCACCTGCTGCCCTCCTCCGTGCCCACCTTCATCGCAGCGAGGGGGAGGCACCACCTGCTGCCCTCCTCCGTGCCCACCTTCATCGCAGCGAGGGGGAGGCACCACCTGCTGCCCTCCTCCGTGCCCACCTTCATCGCAGCGAGGGGGAGGCACCACCTGCTGCCCTCCTCCGTGCCCACCTTCATCGCAGCGAGGGGGAGGCACCACCTGCTGCCCTCCTCCGTGCCCACCTTCATCGCAGCGAGGGGGAGGCACCACCTGCTGCCCTCCTCCGTGCCCACCTTCATCGCAGCGAGGGGGAGGCACCACCTGCTGCCCTCCTCCGTGCCCACCTTCATCGCAGCGAGGGGGAGGCACCACCCCACCTGCTGCCCTCCTCCGTGCCCACCTTCATCGCAGCGAGGGGGAGGCACCACCTGCTGCCCTCCTCCGTGCCCACCTTCATCGCAGCGAGGGGGAGGCACCACCTGCTGCCCTCCTCCGTGCCCACCTTCATCGCAGCGAGGGGGAGGCACCACCTGCTGCCCTCCTCCGTGCCCACCTTCATCGCAGCGAGGGGGAGGCACCACCTGCTGCCCTCCTCCGTGCCCACCTTCATCGCAGCGAGGGGGAGGCACCACCTGCTGCCCTCCTCCGTGCCCACCTTCATCGCAGCGAGGGGGAGGCACCACCTGCTGCCCTCCTCCGTGCCCACCTTCATCGCAGCGAGGGGGAGGCACCACCTGCTGCCCTCCTCCGTGCCCACCTTCATCGCAGCGAGGGGGAGGCACCACCTGCTGCCCTCCTCCGTGCCCACCTTCATCGCAGCGAGGGGGAGGCACCACCTGCTGCCCTCCTCCGTGCCCACCTTCATCGCAGCGAGGGGGAGGCACCACCTGCTGCCCTCCTCCGTGCCCACCTTCATCGCAGCGAGGGGGAGGCACCACCTGCTGCCCTCCTCCGTGCCCACCTTCATCGCAGCGAGGGGGAGGCACCACCTGCTGCCCTCCTCCGTGCCCACCTTCATCGCAGCGAGGGGGAGGCACCACCTGCTGCCCTCCTCCGTGCCCACCTTCATCGCAGCGAGGGGGAGGCACCACCTGCTGCCCTCCTCCGTGCCCACCTTCATCGCAGCGAGGGGGAGGCACCACCTGCTGCCCTCCTCCGTGCCCACCTTCATCGCAGCGAGGGGGAGGCACCACCTGCTGCCCTCCTCCGTGCCCACCTTCATCGCAGCGAGGGGGAGGCACCACCTGCTGCCCTCCTCCGTGCCCACCTTCATCGCAGCGAGGGGGAGGCACCACCTGCTGCCCTCCTCCGTGCCCACCTTCATCGCAGCGAGGGGGAGGCACCACCTGCTGCCCTCCTCCGTGCCCACCTTCATCGCAGCGAGGGGGAGGCACCACCTGCTGCCCTCCTCCGTGCCCACCTTCATCGCAGCGAGGGGGAGGCACCACCTGCTGCCCTCCTCCGTGCCCACCTTCATCGCAGCGAGGGGGAGGCACCACCTGCTGCCCTCCTCCGTGCCCATCTTCATCGCAGCGAGGGGGAGGCACCACCTGCTGCCCTCCTCCGTGCCCACCTTCATCGCAGCGAGGGGGAGGCACCACCTGCTGCCCTCCTCCGTGCCCACCTTCATCGCAGCGAGGGGGAGGCACCACCTGCTGCCCTCCTCCGTGCCCACCTTCATCGCAGCGAGGGGGAGGCACCACCTGCTGCCCTCCTCCGTGCCCACCTTCATCGCAGCGAGGGGGAGGCACCACCCCACCTGCTGCCCTCCTCCGTGCCCACCTTCATCGCAGCGAGGGGGAGGCACCACCTGCTGCCCTCCTCCGTGCCCACCTTCATCGCAGCGAGGGGGAGGCACCACCTGCTGCCCTCCTCCGTGCCCACCTTCATCGCAGCGAGGGGGAGGCACCACCTGCTGCCCTCCTCCGTGCCCACCTTCATCGCAGCGAGGGGGAGGCACCACCTGCTGCCCTCCTCCGTGCCCACCTTCATCGCAGCGAGGGGGAGGCACCACCTGCTGCCCTCCTCCGTGCCCACCTTCATCGCAGCGAGGGGGAGGCACCACCTGCTGCCCTCCTCCGTGCCCACCTTCATCGCAGCGAGGGGGAGGCACCACCTGCTGCCCTCCTCCGTGCCCACCTTCATCGCAGCGAGGGGGAGGCACCACCTGCTGCCCTCCTCCGTGCCCACCTTCATCGCAGCGAGGGGGAGGCACCACCTGCTGCCCTCCTCCGTGCCCACCTTCATCGCAGCGAGGGGGAGGCACCACCTGCTGCCCTCCTCCGTGCCCACCTTCATCGCAGCGAGGGGGAGGCACCACCTGCTGCCCTCCTCCGTGCCCACCTTCATCGCAGCGAGGGGGAGGCACCACCTGCTGCCCTCCTCCGTGCCCACCTTCATCGCAGCGAGGGGGAGGCACCACCTGCTGCCCTCCTCCGTGCCCACCTTCATCGCAGCGAGGGGGAGGCACCACCTGCTGCCCTCCTCCGTGCCCACCTTCATCGCAGCGAGGGGGAGGCACCACCTGCTGCCCTCCTCCGTGCCCACCTTCATCGCAGCGAGGGGGAGGCACCACCTGCTGCCCTCCTCCGTGCCCACCTTCATCGCAGCGAGGGGGAGGCACCACCTGCTGCCCTCCTCCGTGCCCACCTTCATCGCAGCGAGGGGGAGGCACCACCCCACCTGCTGCCCTCCTCCGTGCACACCTTCATCGCAGCGAGGGGGAGGCACCACCTGCTGCCCTCCTCCGTGCCCACCTTCATCGCAGCGAGGGGGAGGCACCACCTGCTGCCCTCCTCCGTGCCCACCTTCATCGCAGCGAGGGGGAGGCACCACCCCACCTGCTGCCCTCCTCCGTGCCCACCTTCATCGCAGCGAGGGGGAGGCACCACCTGCTGCCCTCCTCCGTGCCCACCTTCATCGCAGCGAGGGGGAGGCACCACCTGCTGCCCTCCTCCGTGCCCACCTTCATCGCAGCGAGGGGGAGGCACCACCTGCTGCCAGGCGTGCATGCATGGCTGCATTGCATCCATGCATGCACGCCTGGCCCATGAACATGCAGCCGTTTCTTTGCATCATTTCCGTGCAACGTGATTTGCTCCTTGCTACCCCTCATTCCTGCTTTCTTCGTCCATTCCCCCCACCAGCAACCCTAGGCATAGCCTACTGCAGCATGCCCAAAGTCGCCTGCACGGGATGGAAGATGTGGCTGCGAGCCATGCTCAACCTTCCCAAACCTCTACTTACCCCTTGTTACCCCATGTAACCCCTTGTTAACCCATGTTACCCCTTGTTACCCTTTCGTTCCTGCTTTTTCTCCCTGTTCCCCCCACCAGCATGTTAGAAATGTGTGTATAGCATGCTAAGTATAAAAGGGGTTGGGGCTACACCCAACTTTGGGTGTAGCTTGCTTTGTAGGCCTACACCCAACTTTGGGGTGTAGACTTGCAAGTTGGGGTGCCAATCCAACCCACAAGTGTTGGAGCCCCCAAGTGCAAGTTGGGCACCCCCCCTTTTTGCAACCCACAAGTTGGGTGCCCCCTCCTTGCAACCCACATGGTCCTTGTTGCAAGTTGGGTGCCCCCTCCTTGCAAGTTGCCATAGGGACTCCCAACCACCCAACTTTCCCCCTTCCCTTCCAAGCATCTCTTGCATCCTATGTATGCTCTCTTGTCCCCTAATGAATCTAATCATTCTTTTTCAATCTTCACACAGCAACCCTAGGAATAGCCTACTGCAGCATGCCCAAGGTCGCCTGCACGGGATGGAAGATGTGGCTGCGAGCCATGCTCGACCTTCCAACCCCTCTGTCTACCCCATGTTACCCATTGTTACCCCTTGGTACCCCTTTTTCCTCCTCTGCCCATTCCCCCACCAGCTTCCTTGGGAATCGCCTACTGCAGCATGCCCAAGGTCGCCTGCACGGGAAGGAAGATGTGGCAGTGAGCCATGTTCAACCTGCCCAACCCTCTGCTTAACCCCTTGTCACCCTTTATCACCCCTTGTCACCCCTTGCCACCCCTTGTTACCTCTTCCCGCACCAGCTTCTTTAGGAATCGCCTACTGCAGCATGCCCAAGGTCGCCTGCACGGGATGGAAGATGTGGCTGCGAGCCATGCTCGGCCTGCCCAAACCCCGAGACCCCTTCCTCGCACACAGCCACAAGACCTCAGGCCTGGGAGACCTCTCACAGAAGTATTCAGAAAAGCAAGCCACAAAGCTCATGACTCGCCGAACCATGTTCAAGTTCACGTTCGTTCGGAACCCGTACGTTCGGATAGCATCTACGTACCTGAACAAGCTCGTGATTACCGATGCTCCGGAGCGGAAGGAGGGGTGGGGGACGAGGAAGTTTTGGAACCAGGAGTTTTTCGGGACGGCGAAGAGGATTTTGGATTTGTTGAAGGATCCGGCGACCGATCTTGTCAGCTTCCCGGATTTTATTCGGCTGCTGGATCATCTGAGGCGGACGCGTGTCAAGACGGACCGACACATCTCAAGACAGATGAGACTCACATTTCAAGTTGAGACTCGCATTTCAAGTCAGATGAAACTCATTTCCAGGCAGGTGTGCTTTAGCATGTCTACATAGTGTTGGGACTCTATCTGGCGCGTTGTGTGTTTGTATGTCAGTGTGTGAATGTGTATCAGGGGTATGGACCCCTGAATTGTTGGTGCTGTTGGTGCACTCTGTGAGTTGCCAGAATCGTTGGTTTGGGGAAGAGGAATTTGGATTGGTTGAAGGAACCTGCGACATCTGTGGCTCGGCACATGTCAGATACAACTATGTGGGTTCTTTCTGATAATTTGAAAGAGGATGTGAGGCGGGTTACTGCGATGTTTAATGACTCACACATTCAAACAACTGTGTCTTTCTGATCACACTCCACTTCACGTTCAGGCCGACATCTGTGGCTCGGCACATGTCAGATACAACTTTGTGGATTGTTACGATCATCCGAACGAGGATGTGCGGCTTACTGCGAGGGTTTAACAACTCGCATTTCCAAGCAATGTGTGTTCGAAACAGTGTGTGCTTTCCTTTTTATCACCCTTCACTTCATTCCAGGTGGACATCTGTGGCTTGGCACATGTCCAGTACGACTTTGTGGGTCGTTTTGAGCATTTGGAGGAGGATGTGAGGCGGGTTACGGCGAGGTTCAACGACTCGCATCTTGACATTTTCAACTTTGGCAAGTCGGTGCATGCGACAAATTCTGAGGCGCAACTCGCCCGCCTTTACGACAGGGTATGTTTCTAGTTACACATTCTAACATGGAGGTTCGGAATCACCAGCTCACATTTCCGCTTGTTCAACTTTGGCAAGTCGGTGCACGCGACGAACTCTCATATTCAATTAGCCGGCTTCATGCCGGGGTATGCTCTGAGATGATAACAAATATAGGAAGGTAATCGCATCTAGACATGGCCACTTCGGGGAAGTCGGTGCCTGGCACCAACTCTTAGTCACTAGGGGTGTATTGGGGTTCAGCAACTGGAACCTTGATACCTCTAACCAACATGATGAATTCTGAAGTGCAACTGACTCCCCTGCATAACAGGGTAAGTATCTTCACATGAAACTTCAACATCCCTTGTGCACATGCACTGCACTGCATTCCTATGAATGATGTAACATGCATTTTATCTGTTTCTCTTTGTGCTATTTCCTCTTTGGTGCTCTGCAGGATACAGTGCTGACAGTCTCTCGCATATTCAAGAGTGACCTCAATGTTCCCCTCAACAACATAACATACGACATGCCGGATATTCTGCGGAAACTTGTGGAAGGTGGTACAAGTGGTGACACCAAGGTGCAATGAATGCAGTGAAGGAAGGCGGGGTCACTGTAAACAGCAACACATATGACATACTGATGTTCCGGTTTGAAGTACCATAGCGTTTCTCCATAGCAATGTCTTACTGTCGAGGGGATAAAAATCCAAAGAGATTCCCTTGTAGTCGTTCTGTAGTCAATTCTTTGCTACGTTAGGTCCTTACAGGAATCTCGATTTTGCCTGTATGGGAGACAGTGTTGTCGATGCTTCCCCACTCCCGTTACATTTATCACACGAACTCCACCCCACTACTCTCCTGACGTGTTCAGCTTGCATTCGCGGAAAGCGTGACCTGCCACTTGATTGGTGCGTGTAGGTGTGGAGAAACATGCTGAATCGTCATGATTTGGATTTCGGTATGATGTTTCACCAATCAGCTTCCAATATGCCCCAACCAAGATCTCTAGGATGGTTTGGGACACAGCAAAATCATGCTTGTGTGGACCAGCCACGCGAAGTATGACGAAGATCCCTGCTCTCACACCACTTCCACCACACCAAACCTTTCACCACGCCGCAATAATCTTCTTTGGCGAAACTAACGAAACGCTACCACGTCCATTTCCTTCACCTAGCGGCGACCATTCCAGAGCATCTGGTTGCAATTGGCCGAATTTGGATTGCGCAGATTAGGGACCACAGATACTGCAGATTTTTCAATCGGAGGATCGCGAATAGAGCACAGGCGCTTTGCGCTCAACCAATCACATCGCAACTAGGCCCGAACTCCATTTCACCCCCCTCTAGCTTGTCCAGTGCTCGTACAGGCAGTCCCTCAGTTCAAAAACTCCAGTCTGGAAAACATTTGAACAGAAGTAGCTTCAGCCCAGCAGCAGCAGCAATTCAGCTCATCCTCCCAGGTTCTACTCAGCACAGCTATTTACGAGGCATCTACTATCTAATTTAAGATGGCTGCTCTCGCGAACGCCGCTGTGCTTCCGTCCACCTTCGTCGGCCAGAGCGCGGAGCTCGCCGCCAAGGTGAACAATGTGGAGGCCCGCGTGACGATGAGGAAGACCGCCAAGGCGGCTTCCAGCAGCGCCTTCTACGGCCCCGACCGCAACCTGTTCCTGGGCCCGTTCTCCTCCCCCCCTTCGTACCTGACCGGCGAGTACCCCGGCGACTACGGCTGGGACACCGCTGGTCTGTCCGCTGACCCCGAGACGTTCGCCAAGAATCGCGAGCTGGAGGTGATCCACGCTCGCTGGGCTCTGCTCGGCGCGCTCGGCTGCCTCACCCCCGAGCTCCTCGCCGGCAACGGCGTGAACTTCGGCGAGGCCGTGTGGTTCAAGGCCGGCGCGCAGATCTTCTCTGAGGGTGGCCTGGACTACCTCGGCAACCCTAGCCTGATCCACGCGCAGTCCATCCTGGCCATCTGGGCCACCCAGGTCATCCTCATGGGAGCCGTTGAGAGCTACCGCGTGGGTGGCCTCGAGGGCTTCCAAGAGGTGGAGGACCCCCTGTACCCCGGCGGTGCCTTCGACCCCCTGGGTCTGGCCGACGACCCCGACGCGCTCGCCGAGCTGAAGGTGAAGGAGCTGAAGAATGGCCGCCTCGCCATGGTGTCGATGTTCGGGTTCTTCGTTCAGGCGATCGTGACCGGCAAGGGTCCCCTAGAGAACCTCTCGGACCATCTGGCCGACCCCACCGTCAACAACGCCTGGGCCTACGCCACCAACTTCACCCCCGGCGCTTAAATTTGGCTTCTTAAATCCTCTACATTCCTTTCTTATCAATAATATATTTTCGTACAGACTTTACACAGTTTGTCCATGGCAGTTGCATCTTATGTCAACGAATTCTGTAGAGGCAAACCGCTATTTGGATAGCGATAAGATAATCGCATCCGATCATAATGATGGGCGTGATGTCCAAGCACAAATATTAAGTAACTGCGTCGAGCAAGCCTCAAGGAATTGTTCATTGAACCCACGAGTTGTCCAGTGCATTGATTATTATTCTCATGCAGATAGAAGATATGCAATGCTCAAAGTTGTTACGTTTCTGTTAGTAGCCACATCCCATGAAATTGCTCATGATGTTTCGTGTACCTGACTTTTGTCGCTGCGAGATCTTGCCAGTGCCTGAATTATAAATTTTAACCACAATCGAAAGAATCAAGAAAAAATAAAAATGCTAAGATGCTCAAAGCAAATTACGAGTGCAGTTCTGGACAGTATATTACATACCTGTTTCTGGCTATCCGCTAGGTAACTTCAGATGTATTTAGTTATCCACCAGCTGTGAGGAATATGAAAGTCAGACCATACATCAGTGTTGAGATTCGACAGCTACGCTTAGTACTCACGCAAATTACCAGGGAGGCTATCTGACTCAGGTATTTGACTGAGTTCCATGTAAGAATCTCCCGAAAGAACAAGGGTAGCGCAGTTGAGAGCACATAAGTAGCGCAGTTGAGAGCGTATGACTAGCGCAGTTCAGAGCATATAACGCAGTTGATAATCATTTCAGTTGCGCTGCCAGAATAAGAGTGTCCAGCGAACAAGTTCTGTAGGTTGATCAAAAATATATTATCAGAAGAAAAAGGAATGTACAGGATTTAAGAAACTAGATCTAAGCGCCGGGGGTGAAGTTGGTGGCGTAGGCCCAGGCGTTGTTGACGGTGGGGTCAGCCAGGTGGTCCGAGAGGTTCTCCAGGGGGCCCTTGCCGGTCACGATCGCCTGAACGAAGAACCCGAACATCGACACCATGGCGAGGCGGCCATTCTTCAGCTCCTTCACCTTCAGCTCGGCGAGCGCGTCGGGGTCGTCGGCCAGACCCAGGGGGTCGAAGGCACCGCCGGGGTACAGGGGGTCCTCCACTTCCTGGAAGCCCTCGAGGCCACCCACGCGGTAGCTCTCAACGGCGCCCATCAGAATCACCTGGGTGGCCCAGATGGCCAGGATGGACTGCGCGTGGATCAGGCTGGGGTTGCCGAGGTAGTCAAGGCCGCCCTCGGAGAAGATCTGCGCGCCGGCCTTGAACCACACGGCCTCGCCGAAGTTCACGCCGTTGCCGGCGAGGAGCTCGGGAGTCAGGCAGCCGAGCGCGCCGAGCAGAGCCCAGCGAGCGTGGATCACCTCCAGCTCGCGATTCTTGGCGAACGTCTCGGGGTCAGCGGACAGACCAGCGGTGTCCCAGCCGTAGTCGCCGGGGTACTCGCCGGTCAGGTACGAAGGGGGGGAGGAGAACGGGCCCAGGAACAGGTTGCGGTCGGGGCCGTAGAAGGCGCTGCTGGAAGACGCCTTGGCGGTCTTCCTCATCGTCACACGGGCCTCCACATTGTTCACCTTGGCGGCGAGCTCCGCGCTCTGGCCAACGAAGGTGGACGGGAGCACAGCGGCATTCGCGAGAGCAGCCATTTTAAGAGACTGAAGGTGCCTCGAAATAGAAGCTGTGGCTGAAGAATTCCTGAGGATGGTGAATAGAGATGTTGACTGTGATGAGAAACAAGAATGACGTGAGCTTTGTAGGTGTTCTGCCAGTGTTGCTGGTTAGGAGATGGAGGAAGTTGGATTCGGATAGGGTTGCGGGTGTTGGATGTGTTGGTCTTAGCGGTTTCTGATTGGCTGCCTATGATCGCGAACCGCGTGGTGGAAGCGTTTTTGGCATTCCGAAACTATGACAAGATCCCCCTTGGATGGATGCATTGCGTGGTAACAAAATTCGAGTTCGGCCAATCGCAATGGGTTCGCTCGTTCATGAAGTACCTTTGTGGTCCGCTGCAAACGTACAATCTGTGGCTATTGTAAGATTGTGAAGCGGCAGCGACGCTTGGCGCAGAATGACTTCCCAGATCGTGGGGATTTTTGTGTATTGGCGAGGGCCTGTTGAGCAATGAGCACACGTTATGCCATCTCAACACGTCACCAACAAATTCAGAGCAGAGAGTTTAGTGGACCAGCATTGAGCCAGGGGGAAATATGCCATAAGTAACCAACTTGGGCCTCGATAACGTGAATGGTGAAAAAAACGCGTACGGTCAATGTATCGGGTTTTCTGACGGGTTTGGTAAGTGGGGGTCACAGATTCAGTCACTAACAGGTAAAAAATCACGCGAATGGTCACACATGTAACTCCCGCCAAAAAACTTGAAACTAGACTAAATTCCCGCTCGCGCCCAACCAATCTGCTAACTTCTAAAAAACTAAAACCCAATCGGAATCGGATGCTGTTTGGGAACGGATCAACCCTAAACATCCAGCGAGTTATGGGTTTCGGGTTGATTCATCCGAAAATGCATCCAGGTTCTTTTGGGGTTTCATTTTGTTTTGGCAGGAGTTTCATCACTTGATAGTGACTGATTATGAGAAACGTTTTATCAGTCGCGTGAAACCACCCTTTGCAGTGACCGTACCCTTCATTGTTTCACCACAAATGTTATCGAGTCCCATGTTGGTTACGAATGGCATATTTTCCCTAGTAAGCGAAGAGTTGTGAAACGTCCCTGAGGTGTACAAGGCCAGTTAGTATAGAGTCAGCACTCATATTGATCAATGATTACATCTTGAGGCCTGCCCTACTCATGGCCTGTGTCTTGGACTACAAAATTTGTTGCTCTACATAAAATAAAAAGATGACTGCACGATATAATGAAATGCAAATTTAGGTGTAGGATAAACAGTGATTGCTGTGGTGGCCAGGCTAGTCTTCATGGACATGTGCTGCTTCTTTCTCGGCAGATAGAGCAAATATGTCACAGATGACCTCCAACGGCAAGCCCTTTGTCTCTGGGACCTTGAGGAAAACGAAGAGCCACGAGATCATGCTCATTGTGCAGAAGATGGCAAAGACCCCAGCAAGACCAAATCTTGCTTGAAGTAGAGGAAACGCCTGGCTGACACCAATGTTACACAGCCACATAGCAGCACCACACAGACCAATGCACAAGCCGCGAACAGGGGTGGGAAATATCTCAGAGCAGATGATGTTGGGAATTGGTCCAAGGCCCATTACGAATGCACAGCAAAATATTGTGACCCCTGCTAGCGAGCAGGCTGATTGCGCCAATCCTGGACCAAGAGAAGTTGACGAAAACACTAGAAGTGCCAAGGATGCTCCAATAACAGGGGTGGTGTATAGAAGAAGTTGCCTACATAACAAAACATATGGTTTTAGCTGAGCATGATGCAAGTGAGTGAAAAGGCACATATCATCAGCACATCATAGCACATACCTTCGACCCAAAGAATCCATGAGCAACATAGCTGCAAAGATGCAGGGCAGCATAAGGAAAGCTGTAACGCCACTTGCCAACATGGATGACGATTCCGCTGTCAATCCATAATTCTCCAAGACGCTAGCCCCAGAGGACATGAGAATGGTAGGGGTGTAATACAGCACCGCATTGATTCCACACGCCTGTGAACAGGAAATATCAGATCAGTTAGGAACAAAGATGATGCAATTTAATGCTGACACCATTTCTTACCTGCTGGAGCACTTGAAGACCAACCCCTACAACAAGGGCTTGCTTCACACCAGGTTCTTTTAGACTGCTAAATCCTCCTTCAGCACCCTCTGATTTTGATGGATGCACCATGGCCGGGCCTTCTGTGTCACCCTCGAGAGGCGCCAATGAATTCTGCTGACTGACAAGCACAGACACCTGAATACCATCATCACTAAGAAGTTGAGTAGAGTCGGACAATGATTGCCCGAAATTTTGCTGCAGGATGTAGACCCTCTTCATCTCATCGTGACTCTGATTGTTTGGCTTTTCATCATCTCCCTCCACCTGACTGGAACCACCCTCAACTTGCCACATCAGCTGCCACCCACCACCCAGTGACCCTGCTGTAGCTGTGGACGTCTGGTAACTGTTGTTCATGTCTAACGATGTCAACGAGGCCAGTGGTGGAACAGATGAAAAGACAGACTCCAAAACAGAAGACTGTCGCGAAAACTCCACAGAATTGTTGTCGGATGCACACGCAAGAAGTGGCGCTTGCAAGCTCTCAATATCAGAAGGAAGAACCGATTTCTCCTCCCCTGAAGAATTCTGGGATGGCCATGAGGATTGCATATTCTCGTTGTCTGTAATGGCCATATCACTTGCTCTTTGAATGTTGTCCATCAGCGTAACTAAGTTGTCAACTGGAAGGCTTCCAGATACGAAAATGGTGGATGAACGCGAGGGAAGAGCAGCTTCTTCATTCTCAGCTGTATCTGCAGCCGGACAAGCCATCCACTCACAACTCGAGTCCGGCCCGATCAACTTGACGGGTGCGATTGAATCGTGGTTTTTGTTTATATAATCTTCATCCACGGGCTTAATGACCCACTCCTCCAAAGAGATGTCACGGGAAAGTCCGAGGCCCTCGACTAATACAGCCAGCTCACCTGGCGAAAAACGTGTAAGATGAAGCTGATCACTCATATGTGTGAGCATTAGCAAGTTAGTAAGGGCTCAGCTTACCCGAAACATCTTGAGAACCGCGAAGGTACTGCAGAACAAGTCGTGCTTCTGCCATTCGACCCTTGCTGACAAGCCATCTAGGTGACTCGGGAAGCACAAGAAATAGTGCTAGAATGTAGAGGAGCGACGGTCCACATCTGAAATCAGGTGACGGATTTCAGCCACAGACGGAATGAGAACAAAACGAGATGAGAAAACAAGTGAGATTTCTTACTCGATTCCAAGGATGAGTCTCCAATCCGTGTGTGGGGATAAGGAAAGGAAAAATGACACTGCATACGAAATGACCATAGCTCCAATACCCATCAGCTGAGGAAGCGTGGCCAGCTGGCCACGGATTTCGGGTGGTGAGCATTCTGATATGAAGATTGGAGCGACTGTGGCAAAGAATCCAATGCTGAGTCCGACTAGGCTTCTGCCTGCGACAAGGTATTCCACGCTAGGGGACCATCCGCTGATTGCAGCTCCTGAAAACAAGCACCTTCTTGAATATTGGTGCTGTATTCAAGCATACCACTAACGGAAAAGCCGCATCCTACCTGAAAAAAGCGTGAAAGCCGCAATCGTAAGGACTGATTTTCTGCCGATCAAGTCCGCAAAACTTCCAGCAATTAGAGTACTGAGTACCGAACCTGCGGGAATTCTCACAATGTCAGAATCAGGACAACTACAAGAACGTGGGATTAATAAGAGCTACAAACCCAGTAAAGATGCAGTCACGATCAATCCGACTGCAGTTGGAGATAGATGAAAATCGGGGACCACGTAGAGAAGTGACCCTGAGAAATCAAAGGTGCACGTCATTCACGAAAGCCAGGTGTTTTCGAATGAAGGCCAACAAACGTTACACGCACCTGCTATCGCGGCATTGTCCCAGCCTTGGAGTCCATTGCCAAGAGCCGCACAAAGTGCCACGATAACAGCTCCAGATACCATGACCAGAGACTTCTAATCAGCCTTGGAAGTGCGAAGACTCCGAACAGAATGATGCTGCTCTAGGCAAAATCATTACCTTCAGGAAATGTTCCTGGTCTGAGCAAATTTTGTTGAGGTGCAGGCGTACCCCCGAGCAACATCATCCTATTACCGAGGATGCTGAGACTCAGTACAATACATTGTACAGCTCGTTCAAAACCTTCAAGCACAGCGAATTGCAGCCAACACTTCTAACAATATATGATGAAGAAGCTTGTGACATGTACTCCATTCATGGTAATATCAACTACATGGTAATAATCATCTTCTAGTAGTACGTTGTGCAAGAAGGAAGATGTAACAGGTGATGCGGAAGGCCATAGCAAAGCCCAATAGCACAAGAAGGTCAAGCCACTTCGAGTGCCCATACAAGCCTGCAGCCTCAATAATCTGAAGAGGACAAGGGGGGTGGACCAGGAAAATAGGATGAGAATCACTGCTGTTACATGTACATACATACGAAGCAGGATGTGAGGTCAGATGTAAGAACCAGAGCAACACGCATGGCTGTTGATGCTTGACATTACTCACCTGTGCTCCTGTGCCTGCAAGCCCGAAGGTGGTGTCGCTATGGCTTCCGTACTCATTGATGATGAGAGCGTCTAAGGGATACTTGAAGACTGACAGGTAGTGCATCCAGATCCAGTATGAGGGGATGTACTGTTCGGGAGACACACACAAAAAAAAAAAAAAAAAAAAAAAAAAAAAAAAAAAAAAAAAAAAAAAAAAAAAAAAAAAGTGACAGGAACAAACGGACAAATGTGATGTAGAGGTCCGGTGATATCTATATGTAACGCATTGTGGATAATGGGAGCCACAGGACGCACATGTACATGTCTACTTCCTGTAGTAACCACAACATGAGTGCAGCGGAACAAAATGATAATTTTGATTTTTTTGTGATATCCTATTTCCAAGGCCTTGGGCGTTTACCTTCTTGGCAATGAAGTAGCCGGAGAAGAGGAAGAATGCCCCCATAAGGCCAGCAATCATGGAGTTAGCTGTGATGAAGTCAGGCGCCATGGCCCTGAGACAAGGGAACAACCACATGCACGGGAGGCAACACACATTTACAGGAGGCACATAAACATATGAACATAGACAATCAGAGATGCAGGGGTAAAAAGAGAAGTTCCCCTTGAGGCCAGCGATCATGGATTTAGCTGTGATGAAATTAAGCACCATGGCTCTGAGACAAGGGAACAACCACATGAGGAGTTAGCCATGATGAAGTTAGGCGATGTGCTGTGAGCCGCGTAGCCTTTAAGGAAATACTTACGCGATGCAAGCAACGACTGCATTGGCGACGATCAGAACTGCCCAAACGACAAGGAGGAAGAAGAAGAAGGCGGAGAGGGAGGCGTGCAGGCCGACGAGGAGGTAGGCTGGGATGGAGTAGAGGAGGGCGAGGAGCAGGAGGAAGGGCAGAAATACTGCCACACTGCGTGGGAGTTAAGAGAGAGTGGGGGGGAGGGGAAGGGGAGGGATGGGAGGAAAGGGGATTAGGGGTTCTCCCTAGTCTTGGATGCGTAAGGAGATATGCGAGAAAAGCGATTAACACCCTATTAAAATGATACAAACCGAGTTGCAATAGAATAAAGCTGCCTGCAATAAAACAGCTGCCTACAGGAAATCAGCTGCGTCCAGGGAAAACGCTGGGCTGTAGCAGATCACTCACCTGGCGATGGCATACGAAGAGATGCGGTAAGCGCCTCTTGATGATTCTCTTATGAGTCGACTCTAAACAAGATGAATATTGAGCTGATTTTAAAAATCACCTGACTATTACAGATCACTCACCTGGCGATGGCATATGAAGAGATGCGGTAAGCGCCTCTCGAAGTCTCTCGGAGAAAGATTTGCCTCTCCTGTAGATGTGGGGACATGGATGAAAATGCAGGGGCATTTGTGGTTTGTGGTTGGGAAAGTTAATCAGGAAATGCGTGAGTGGGGGAGTAATAGAATTGCTTCAGAATTGTGTTATTAAGCATAATTCGTAGTCATGAGACCAAGACACAATTTGCCTCAAAGATGCGGGGACATGGGTGAGGGAGCAGGGACCTGGGTGGGTGCGATTTGCAGGTTTATCTTTAGTTTATTTTTCATTTATAGTGAATATGCATGTGATGTTTTCACGTGTGCAAGTGAGGATGCATTTAAGGGGATCATTACATGCGAACATGGGTGGATTCATGGGACGTAAGGAGCACTTGACGCAGGAAACACAGGTAGGGCTTCCACGGATGAGGTGAGGAGGAAGGGATGGATGAAAGCTCTCCCATGCCAGTATGCCAGTGTATCTGTGGTTCATAGCATGCGTGTATAGCATAGCACTTGCCTCAAGAAACACGGGCAGGGCTTCCACGGATGACGTGAGCAGGAAGGCGAGGGAGAAGGAGCAGTATGTGAGCACTCGTATGCCAGTATGGATGTGGTTCATAACATGCGATTATAGCACTTGCCTCAAGAAACACTGGCAGGGCTTCCACAGATGAGGTGAGCAGGAAGGCCAGGGAGAAGGCAAAGAAGCCCATTCGCTCCTGAGAGGGGAGCACGGGGGGAGAGAAAGGGAGGGCAGGAGAAGGAGAGCAAGGGATCAGGAAATGATCCAGGATGATGGGTTGAGCAAGGAGGTGAGAGACGGCAAAAAGCCTTATGTGCTATCAGGTAGGGCCTACCACCCCCCCTCCCCTTCTTCCCTGATTGGCCTTACACACTTCCTCCCTCCTGTATCCCCTTCCCTCCTCACCTCTATCTCTTGGGGTTTGGACGGAGGCAAAGAAAAGTGTTTCCCAGGCATGCAGCAGTGAAGGCGACCTGAGATGCCCCTTGCTTTCCTCTGCTTCTAACACTCTTCCTAGTCTCCGATTCCCTACCTCCTCCTCACCTCTATGCCCTGGGGGTTGGACGGGAGGCAAAGGAAGAGTCCCCAGGCAGAGAGCGAAGTGAAGGCGACCTGGCGCAACCCCTGCTTGCATCTACGTCGAACACTCTCCCATAGTTTCCGATTCCCTACCTCTAGTCCTACCCCCTCCTCACCCCCTCCTCACCTCTATCCCTTGGGGGTCGGACGGCAAGCGAAGAAAGAGCGTTCCCACGCAGAGAGTAGTGAAGGCGACCTGTGACAAAAGTTGCTTGCATCTGGTTCACTGTTGTTTATGATTTCCCACCCCTCCCTCACCTCTATCCCCTGGGGTTGGACGGGAGGCGAAGAGCAGTGAAGGAGACCTGAGACGCCCTTTGCTTGCATCTGCTTCTAACACTCTCCCCAGTTTCTAATTCCTCACCCCTCCTCACCTCTATCCCTTGGGGGTTGGACGGGAGGCGAAGGAAGAGAGTCCCCAGGCAGAGAGTAGCAAAGGCGACCTGAGACTTAACCCCGTTCTCCACATTCGCTATAAAGTCCTTCCACACTCGTAAACCCCTACCTCCTCACCTCTATCCCCTGGGCGTTGGACGGCAGGCGAAGGAAGAGAGTCCCCAGGCAGAGAGCAGTGAAGGCGACCTGAGACGCCCTCCCTAGACACAGCTCTGGCGTCCTGGCCATGTTCTGAGAGGGAGGATAGCAGAAAAGGAAGCAGGAAGCACCAAAGGAAAAAGAGAGTGAAAGGATGGTGAGGGAATGAAGAGGTTGAAGCGTGATCAGCAGCAGTGAAGGCGACCTGAGACGCCCGCCCTAGGCACAGCTCTGGCGTCCTGGCCATGTTCTGCAAAGAAAGGGGCAGGGAGAGGAGCGGGGAGGATGGGCTGGAGCACGCAAGGGAATAGAGAACGAAAGGATGGTGAGGGAAGCAATGAATGAGATGGTGAGGGAAGCAATGAATGAGATGGTGAGCTGATTGTCAGGTTGTTTGGATGGACCGTGACAAGCAGCAGTGAAGGCGACCTGAGACGCCGTTCCTTGACACAGCTCTGGTGCTAGTGAAGGCACCAGCCCTCTGACACAGCTCTGGTGCCTGCCCCCCCGCCTCTGAAGGCGGCCATGTTCTGAGGAGGAAGGGGCAGAGAGAGAGGCGGGGGGTAGAGCACAAGAGCGAGCATACGAATGGAAAGGGTGAAGATCCAGATTTCGTACTAACAAGTTGAGGACGACAATTGGTCTGCTATCGATGCCAGTACGGCTGCTATCGCTGTATTCCCTCCCTACCCTATGGCAAACGACCCTAGCGGCAGGCAGGTTCGCATTGCAACGATTGAGAGTGGCAGGCTGGTTGCGTGGTAAACGAGAGAAGTGGCAACCAGGCAGGCAGCACACGAGCACATGCATGCACTGACTTGAAATAGGAGGGAATACCTTGAAGTTGCGGCAGCTGAGTCACCAGATCTCATGCAGGGGCAATGCGGGATACTGGGGAAGGAGCGAAGGAGAATCACTGGGTAAGGAGGAAAGGCGAATCGCCCTCCCCCTATGCTAAGACTACTACCTCATGGATTGGGAGGCAGCGAACGTGCCTTGAAGTTGCAGCAGCTGAGCCACCAGATCTCGTGCAGGGGCGATGTGGCATACTGGGGAAGGAGGGACGGAGAGGCACTCCCATGTATGCTACCACTACCATGGGCCAGTAGGGAAGAGAACGAGATGGAAAGGGAGACAAGTACCTTGAAGTTGCGGCAGCTGAGCCACCAGATCTCGTGCAGGGGAGATGTGGCATACTGGGGAAGGAGAGAAGACGCTTCACTCCCCCCGTGGTTGCTCTCGCCTTCGCTGCTGCTGCTGCTGCTGCTGCTGCTGCTGCTGCTGCTGCTGCTGCTGTTGCTGTCACTGTCACTACCACTGCCGCTGCAGGTGCTGCTGCCAGCGCAGGTGCCTTGGATCGAGATCGGAACATCTTGGAACGGTGATGGTGGTGGAGGAGGGGAGGACGATGGGGAGGAGGAGGATAATGGGGAGGAGGAGGATGGGGAGGAGAATGTTGCCGGCAATGAGGAGAGGGGAAGCTCATGAAATACCTCATTCCCATCCTTGTGAGACGCGGCCACAAGACCAGCAGCAGTGGCACCGGCAGTCTCGCCATGGAAATACATTTGCTCGTCTGCTGTCATTTGTTGCTGTTGTTGAAGGCGCTTCCACAGGACACTGCCGTTTGACTGTGGGAGATACAAAAACCAGGAAATCACAGTGGATGGAACATGGATTGCATTAAGATTCAGACTCGATATTCCACAGCAGGCTGCGATCTGACTTTTGCTAGATAACAAGAGGAAGAGCTGGCAATAAAGAGTGGACACGCGTTTTTGGCCCTCCATGAATTCCATTTCTGGCCTCAGCAGCATTACTTAGCAATCGGCAGTGTTGTGCCTAGTAACTCACTCACCCCCATGCCCCCATTTATGAGCGTTGACCCGCATGCGCACAATGCAGCCAGCAGCAATGCGAGCCTAGCATCCAGCAGTAAAGGTAGAGCCAAGCCACCGAAACAGCACTCACCCCCATGCCCTCCATTGCATATTCAAGGGCGCGCATGGGCACTGTGCAGCCAGCAGCAGCAAGGCGAGCGGGCCACAGTGAACCACAGACAGTTGAGCCAAGTGAACCCCATGGGAACAGAAAGGAGGATGACGAGGCAACTCACCCCCATGCCCTCCATGGCGTATTCAAGCGCATTGACTCACATGGGCACGGTGCAGCCAGCAGCAGCAGCGGCAGCAGCAGGAATACGAACCTAGCATCCAGCAGGAATGATAGAGCCAAGAAACATTAACTCACCCCCATTCCCTCCATAGCATATTCAAGGGCGTTGACTCGCATGGGTACACACACAGTGCACCCAGCCGCAACGAGGCGGGCGTCGAGCAGAGAGAGAGAGGAGCAACACATAGTGACTTAGCCTTTTGAGTCAACTTGAGAGTCCGATGACAACAGAAAGGAGCGTGAAGAGGCAACTCACCCCCATGCCCTCCAAAGCAAACTCAAGTGCATTGACTCGCATGGGCACGGTGCAGCCAGGCGGGCCTCGAGCAGGGAGAGAGAGGAGCAAGGTGTAGCCAGCACAAAACCAAACTGCACTCACCCCCATGCCCTCCATTGCGTATTCAAGGGCGTTGACTCGCATGGGCACGGTGCAGCCAGCCGCAGCGAGGCGGGCTTCGAGCAGGGAGAGAGGGCCGCAGTGAACCACGGAGCCCCGGGAGAGCAGCAGGAGGGAGTCGATGAGCTCGAGCATGCGGAAGCTGGGCTGCGAAGGGGAGGGTGTGGGAGAGAGAGGGGAGAGAGGGGAACGGGGAGGCAGTGCGGGAAAAAACGGGACGGAGGGAACAGAGGAGTTGAGAGCAGCAGGAGGGAGTCGATGAGCTCGAGCATGCGGAAGCTGGGCTGCGAGGGGGCATAGAGGGAGGGAAGGGGGTGGGGGAGAGTTATGGAGTGGGAGGGAGGGGAGAGGAGAAGCGGGTAGGGCTGTCTGTTCAGGCAGATTGAGCAGATCGAGCAGGGAGAGAGGGCCGCAGTGAACCACAGAGCCCCGGGAGAGCAGCAGGAGCGAGTCGATGAGCTCGAGCATGCGGAAGCTGGGCTGCGAGGGGGCGTAGGAGGGAAGGGGGGGTGGAAGAAGGACAGAGAGGTTGAGAGTGGTGGGGGTGGGGGAGAGCAGCGGGAGGGATTCGATGAGCTCTAGCATGCGGAAGCTGGGCTGCGAAGGGGAGGGTGTGGGAGAGGGGAGAGAGGGAAAAAGGGAAGCGGCGTGGGGAAAAACGGGACGAAGGGAACAGAGGGTTGAGAGCAGCAGGAAAGAGTCGATGAGCTCAAGCATGCGGAATCTGGGCTGTGAGGGGCGAGAGGTAAGAGGGGGCGAGAGGTAGGAGTGGGAAGGGGGAGGAGAGCGGTGGTGGGGAGCAGCAGGAAAGAGTCGATGAGCTCAGGCATGACTTTTGGGTCGACTCAAAATGACTTTTGAGTTGACTTTTGAGTCGACTCAAAATGACTTTTGAGTTGACTTTTGAGTCGACTCAAAAGTCAGCTCGGGGAGGAGAGCGGTGGTAGGGAGCAGCAGGAAAGAGTCGATGGGCTCAGGCATGACTTTTGAGTCGACTCAAAAGTCAGCTCGGGGAGGAGAGCGGAGGTGGGGAGCAGCAGGAAAGAGTCGATGAGCTCAGGCATGACTTTTGAGTCGACTCAAAATTCAGCTCGGGGAGGAGAGCGGTGGTGGGGAGCAGCAGGAAAGAGTCGATGAGCTCAGGCATGCGGAAGCTGGGTTGTCGCTGGGAGATGGGGGTGTGGGAGGGAGAAGGGTGGGTGGGAAAGGAAGAGGGTGAGAAAGGAGGAGAAGGGGACAAGAGGTACGAGTCAGGAGCAGCAATGCGAGCCCACTGGTGGATTAGCCCAGCCGCCTGACTTGGCCTCTCTCTTCTCCACTCTCTCTTCTCCACTGTCTCTTCTCCACTCTTTCTTCTCCACTCTCTCTTCTCCACTCTCTCTTCTCCAATCTTCTTCCCACTCCCTCTCACCTGGTGTATAGACAACAACACCGTTCGCCCTCCTTCTTTCGCCATGCCTCTCAGCACGCCCAGCACGTTGGCAGCAGCAGCGCTGTCCAGCCCACTGGTGGGTTCATCCAGCAGCACCACTGCCGGGTTGTGCACCAGATCCATTCCTATGGATACCCGCCTTCGCTCTCCGCCAGACAGCCCCCTCCCCCTGCTGCTGCCAGCACTTGTGCTGCCGATCCGCGTGTGGGCAACAGCCTAGGCCAGAGGAGGGGGGGAGGAATGGGGGTAAGACAAAAGAACGAGAAAAAACAGGGAGGAAATGGAGTTGCTGTTGTGGGTGCAGCCCACTGGTGGGTTCATCCAGCAGCAACACTGCTGGGTTGTGTACCAAATCCATGCCTATGGACACTCGTCGTCGCTCCCCTCCTGACAGCCCCCTCCCCCTGCTGCAGCCGGCACTCGTACTGCCGATTCTGGTATGGGGCGACAGCCTGGGGTGGGCAGGGGTAGGGAGAGAGCAGGGAGAGAGGGATGGGGGTAAGAGTTACTGGGAGGAAGTGGGGCTTTTGTGGGTGCAGCCCACTGGTGGGTTCATCCAGCAACTCCACTGATCGCCTCTTCTCTCCTCCAGAAAACCCTCCCCCCCTGCTGCTGCCCATGCTGGTCGCCCCAATCCTGGTGTGGGGGACAGCTTGGGGTGGGGGGAGGGAGAGAAGGGCAGGGTGGGGGCAAGAGAAAGGAGATTTCTGAGAATTCTCCAAAATCGCTCGCAAGGTATCTAGGAGTAATGCTCCCTCTGAAGCACCTGAATTACCGCGAATCCAAGCATGTGCACGGCTGTGCGGACGGACGGCTACAGCCCAGGTACCTGGAGGTCAAGGGTGGTGAGAAGGGCGACCACGCGGGCGAGCTTTGTCCGTGATGGGCAGGGAGGAGGGCAGGAAGAGGTGGGCAGAGAGAGGAGCGACTGACTGGCTCTGACACACCTGTTACCACGAGCAGCCCAGTTACTCGTGCGAGTATGGCACGCCTTACCTGCAGGCCGAGGGTGGTGAGAAGGGCGACCACACGCGGGCGAGCTTTGTCCGCGACGGGCAGGGTGGAGGGCAGGCAGAGGTGGGCCGAGAAGAGGAGCGACTCGCTCTGAGGCCCAACAACCAAGCCATGAGCAGCACACTTACATGTGCTAGCGGCAAGCCATATGCGTGCAAAGCAGTGATCAGCCCAGTTACCTGTGGACCAAGAGTGGCGAGAAGAGCGTCCACACGAGCAAGCTCTTGAGTCGACACAAAGTCACCTCGTTACATTGAGTCGACTCGAAAGTCACCTCGTTAAATTGAGTCGACTCAAAAGTCACCTCGTTACATTGAGTCGACTCAAAAGTCACCTCCTTACATTGAATCGACTCAAAAGTCACCTCGTTACATTGAATCGACTCAAAAGTCACCTCGTTACATTGAGTCAACTCAAAAGTAGCAGTGATCAGCCCAGTTACCTGTAGACCAAGAGTGGCGAGAAGAGCGTCCACACGAGCAAGCTTGTCAGCGAGCGGCAGGGAGGAGGGCAGGCGGAGATGAGCCGAGAAGAGCAGCGACTCGCGTGGGGTGAGGTGCGGGAAGAGCGCATCGTCTTGCTGCACGTAGCCTGGGTGGTGGGGGGAGGAGAAGTGAGAAGAAGGAGAAATCCAAGGGAATGAGAGAGGTTAAGTGGTGTCCCCATCTGCTTAGGAAAGAGCGCATCGTCCTGCTGCACGTAGCATGGGTGGTAGGGAGGATTGAGGGATTGAAGGAAGAAGGGGGGAAAGGAGGAGATCGAAGGGGGAGTGGGCACGGTTATGTGAGTCTCAGTTTACTGAAGAGAATGAGGGAAGAGTGCATCATCCTGCTGCACGTAGCCTCGGTGGTGCGGAAGGATTCAGCACCGTTTTGCAACTGGAACACCCACCTGAGATTCGCCTGAGCTCGCCCGCGCTCATGAACTGCCCGTTCACCAGGATGCTTCCTCTCAGCCTGCCGCCACCACAGACACTATAACCTCCCAAAGAGAGCACCCAGGGAAGGTGACCATCTGAGATTCGCCTGAGTTCGCCTGTGCTCATCCGTTGCCCGTTCACCAGGATGCTTCCTCTCAGCCTGCCGCCACCAGAAATGGTCAACCTTCCAGCAGTGCCCAGAGAAAGTAACTCACCTGAGATTCTTCTGAGTTCGCCTGTGCTCATCCTCTGCCCGTTCACCAGGATGCTTCCTCGAAGTCTCCCCCCTTGAATCCGCCCTCCGATGCAGTCCAGCAGCGTTGACTTGCCCGCCCCACTCGGGCCTGCCACAGCCAGCACCTGCCCTGGCCTCGCCACTGCACTCACGCCCACCAGCAGCGGGAGGAAATCCGCAGGCGCGTGTGGAGCAGCATCTGGCGCGTGTGGTGCATCAGTACCAGCAGCAGGGGAGTGCAGAGCAGCAGCAGCAGTTCCAGTAGGAGGTTGCAGAGCAGCACTAGGAGCAGCATCAGCAAAATCAGCAGTAGCAGTCTTAGTAGTAGCTGGTATGAATGGCACCAACTTAGAGAGTGACTGGATGATATAATCAAGGGAGGACGACGCAGGAGCGGGGATGGAGTAGGAGAGGTTGTCAATTGTGATAGTGTAACACGCGCTGGTGGTAACCATGCTCTGCCCATGGGCATCCCACGTCTTGCTGGGGATAACCTTCTTTGACCCTCCTCCTCCAATACTGCTGCTACTCTTGCTACTGCCGCTGCTGCTGGTTTTGGTGCTGCTGCTGGTGCCACTGCTACCAGAGCCACCTGTATCACTCGAATCGCTCTCTGTGCTCTTGTTGCTGCTGCTCCGGTGTTGCTCCGATAATCCTCCAATTTCAATCTCGTTCTCAAGATCCTCACCGCCACAGCCAACACCAACACTGCCACCACCGTATTGAGGGAGTGGCAAAGTCAATCCTCCTTTCCATGCGCTTGCTTCGGACACAAAGATTCGATCCCTGGGAGCAAAGAATTCCCCAACAGCAGGATCACTTGTCTGAACGCCATGCCTTGCAAATTGACCGCCAGGCTGATAGCGATGACCACTATAACGAGTATAACTGCTGCTGCCGCTTCCGGCCTCTGCCTTTTGCAGAGCCAATTGCCTTCCCTTATCTGTCCCTCCTCTGTCACGCAAGGGGGCATTCGACCCATCATACGAGCCACTTGGCATGTTGGTCATTGCAGTTGCAGCAGACGCCCGGGTCCTCGCTTTCCTTAGGGCCTCCACGTCAAGCGCGCACACCGATGACATGGCGCCACGTCAGCGCTGATATGAGGAGCACCTGACGTCCGAGGATGCCGACGAGCGTGGTGAGCCAGTCCCGTCTGGCTGACGGTTTTCACGTTCTTAGACGTCTGAAAACTCGAGAATTCAAACGAGCGTGGTGTGCGAGTAGCGATTGGCTGAATTCACCCTCAAACAGATGGTTAGGTGGGTGTCGACGGTGCGACTACACTGAACCAGTGAGGGGAGAGTCGACCACAGCTGCTGCAGTTTAAGCCCGCAGCAAACAAACTATTGGCTGAACAAGGAAGCGTGCAGAAGACACATGGGTAGAGAGATCGACGCGCCTGTCAACAATGAATGCTGACAGCAAGGGTTCTGCTCTTATGACGAAGTAAGGACGCAAGTGAGTTTCTCTGGATCTTATTAAGTTTTCAGAAGCAACGCTGCGGGGTGTGCGACGAGTACGCTCTGAGCTGGCGACTACTCCGTGCGACACAAAACGACGACGACGTCGTCTGCGACCTGTAATCGGCAACGGCACGCGATAACGACGGGAAAGAGGCTGGGGGAAGAGCTGCGAGTGTTTAATCAGGAAACGATGGAATAGCTGTAAGGGAGAAGAGCCATTGCGACTACTATCAATTCGCTGGCACGGACTGATTGGTTGCGAAGCCATTGTGATAACGACGGACGTGATTAGCTCAGTTGGAAAAGTGCAATCCGTGTGGAGGGAGATTCAAATCGCAGGCTGTGTGAGAGCGAATGCGACGACGAGCTGTCACGAGACGTCAACTGCACGGCGACGAGCGACCAGCATGCGACGCAATCGCAATCGCTGGAGACAACCGCAGGCCAGTGCAGCGAACCCGAGAACCGCCGACCAACACGAATGAAGAAATCAACGTGAGAAGAGCGGTCAAAAGGAAATTAGTGGTCACTGATCAGGACTAGAAAGTGACCTGTGACGGCAGGGCGTGAGAAGCAAGGCCTTCTATCCACCAAAAGGAATCTAGCAACGAGTCAGCTTCGCTTCAATCAATGGTAAAAGGAAATAGGAGAATCCATATGAATTTCTGAATCTTCGACTGATGGAGACGGTGACATTCCCAAGCCAATTCTTGTTGATGGCGAATTCGAGGCAGCGAAAATGCTCGTGTTTCCCACTTCCACCGTACTGCATCATACAGTATGACTTTCTGCAACATACCATACCACAACATTTCGCATCCCCGCAATTCTGGCGTTTCGTTTAGGTGGGGCGCATCCTCGCTACAAAACCGTCATTGACTGACACAGCGGTGTTTTGGAGGTGTGAGTTTCGGTAACGGAGGCTGACTTCGTTCACAAGATCCTCATGCATACTGCATCCACAGGTCTCGTAGATTTGAAGAGTTTCCCACTTATAAAGATTCTGAAAAATGAAGCTAACCCAAAAAGTACCACATGGCTTCAGACTAATACCCCTCACCCTAAGCTATCCTCCACTACGAAGCAGCCAGCACGCTGCATAAAAAAACGCTAAATTATGCTTAGTCAAAAAAATGATTATGACATAACAGATGGAGTGAAGTTACATGTTACAACAGGTCCAGCAATACATGGTACAACAATTTCAACCATTCATCAGGCGGACCAGGCAGGCAATAATGCAGGCAATCCCGAGGAGGTTCCTGATGCCCATCTGGTCTCCCCACGGTCATGGGTACAATATCCATAAACACCCCTCCCACATCCTCCACTAGCTTTCTCGCCTCCTCATTCTGCTTAGTGAAATCGCCCCAATGATACAGCATTTCTGAAGGATCCAAGATTCCGATCGACGGAACCGAATCTCTCGTACAATTTGTATGTCCCGTGGCAGCGCTTCTGTAGATTATAAGGAGATTAGGTGCAGCTGCTCTTACTGTAGTTAACGTATGATTAAGCTCGGCGATAAATAAAGGTGTTTCCACCCAATGGGCCCCTCGGTTAAGCACAAGAACTGATATGGGAGGAAAGGGGTCGTCCTTGGGAGATGCTGCGAGCTTCCTGAAATGCCGTTGCAAATACTGCCAGTATGTGTACTCCCGCCTCTTTCCGCTGGTAACCGGGACTTTATTTGCAGAAGCTTGCGGGGTCTCGGGAAACGGCCAGCCAAACAGTCTCCACTGCCCTATCCGTTTCTCCTCTTCCTCTCCTTTCTCCCCCTGCCTCTCATCGTGCCTCTCCTCCTGCCTCTCCTCCTGCATCTCCTCCTGCACCTGCTTCCCATGCCTCTCCTGCACTTTCCGCCTCTTCTGCTGCTCCAGCCATTTCATCTGTAGCTGTTCCTTCTGTTCCTGCCACCCCTCCAGCTGCTGCATCCGCCTCTCCTGCTGCCGTCTCTTCTTCTCCTCCTCCCTCCTCTTCTCCTGATCCTTCCTTTGCCTCTCCCTCACCGCCTCCCCCTTTACAATCACATCAAGCCATGGCACGGAAATCCGTTTCGGAAACTTCACATACAGATGTAAGTCGGTGCTCATTACATCGTCTCTCACGTATATGAACTTGGTATTTCCCAGTGTAACCCCGGTGCACAGAAGCAGGTACGGCCGTTGCTGCAGCAGCCTGTTCTTAGTGCGGCTCTTGCAGAAAGCAGGAGTGAATTCGACCAGTTCGAGTGATTCCCCCTCTGCTTTGCGGCTGTTCTGCTGCTCCCCTTGCTGCACACTACCAGGCGTCGAGGCTTGCCTGAAATGATTCCTCAGAGACTTGAACAGCATTGCGTTTATCGAATCCCCCACTATAAACACAGTCAACCCCTCCAATTTCTCCGCCAGTTTCCCCTTGTCCACCTCTCCCCATTCCCCACACCTCCCTTCAGGAACCCACTTATACTTCACCGTATTCCTCACCTTCCATTCCTCTGCCGAACCTCCTGCCAAAGCTATGTCATCCGCCTCCTTGAAAGCAACGTTCTTATAACGGGAGTTGTTCTGCCCGGGGCCGCTCCTCCATCTATCGTCACACTCCCAACCTGCACTGACCGCGTGGGACCAGGGGAGGGTACGAGGAGTAGGGTCCAGCTGCCACGTGGCGTTCGCTGATAGGCACGCGAGGCGGGTTTGGAACGAGAGGAGCTGATTGGCTGAGGTGAAGCGGGAACCGGGGATTGTTAGGAGGGAGGGGAGGGGGGACACAGGAAGATCCGCGGCGGTTGGGGGAATCGGATCAGGCTTCGCATGAGATTGCGGCGAATCTTTAGGGTTAGTATCGATCGTTGAGATAAAATCTTCTGGTGATACTACCAGCACCTGGGGCGTGCTCGTGGTGGTAGTAGTATTGGAATCTTGCAACACAGCTTGAGAACATATGCTAGAATCAGGGATGCTGCTGCTACTAGGAGCAGCGGTGCTGATGCTAGGAATAGCAGTGCTGCTGCTGGTGTCACGTACCGCTACTGGATTTGGAAACGAGCTGTTATTGTTGGAGCCCAGACTTGCATCGGGAACCGCACCAGGCGAAGCTGCGGGTGTAGACGCGGTAACCATCTGCGTGGTAACCATAGAGGTTGTAACCACCGAGGTTTTGATGGTAACCGCATCTGAAGGACCCAGCAACGGCCAGGACTGGGGAAAGGGGTCGGAGAAGAGTTTATAATAGAGAGACAGCAGGGTGACAAAGATGGCCACTTGTAGCACGACTGGGCAGCGGATAAGGTTATTACTGCTCGAGGCTTTAGCCACCATTTGCGATCACTGATCTGGCAGGATTCGCTGTGGTTCGCGTCTTTAGCCCCACCAGCTTCAGAACATACCATTAGAAACTGTTTCCGGATACGACGGATGAAATGTCAATTCCGCCTCGCTTCTATTGCCGCCACTTTGCCTGAGGAAACTCGTTTTCCCCTAAACAGCAGCAGATAGAAGGAAATGATGGCTTCAATTCGTTGCACTCCCGTCAGGACTCATGAAGTTTCCCGTTACAAGCTGCTCTCGCATCGACCCTAGTCTAGATCGTACAAGCATAACGAGGGTATGCAAGTATGTAAGGAATTTTCTCTCTATTCCTTACTGCGACCGACAACATCGCGTACAGCCGCAACCGTTGTTCGCCCGTTACTGCTAACGGGGCTTCGCCAGCTTCGCGTGCACTGTTTCACCAAACCTCGCACTGCTGGAGCAGCCGAGTCAGCCTACGCTTCGGGACTAGCCCGAACCTCGCGCCAGGGTAGCACTAGCTAGCTCGCACGCACCGCGTTAGGGCATGTTCCTACGGCCCCTTGTCAGGGCCGCCTCTTGTCAGCCTCGCTAAATTCACCTGTAATTCGGCTGGAGCGAGAAACCTCTTGTCAGATGTACTTGCCGGTTTGCAGTTGTGTGCGAACTTGAATGTTGGATGATGTGGCACGCTGCGACCCAACCGCGGGCATCAATTTGTGATGTCCCGTGAGAACCGCGATCCGTTCAATATGCGAAATGGCCACATCATCGCAAAACACATTGCACACAACACAAACTCAACAACCCACGTAGTCTCAGCCAAGCATTAAAGGTCCACAAATAAAAGCACGCACAAAACATCCAGAGAAGCAACAACTATTTCTAACTAGTAGGCGTACTATGACCGATGTTCCGTTCCTCCCACGTCTGCTAATAGTATGGCATGCGTTTTATTACAACTCCTTCTTAGACAGTGCCACGAAGGCCTGCATTCAACTGCTAGAGCACATCGACGCCGCAGAGCAGGAAGAGATATGTGTAGGGTCCCGAAGTGACCTGCGCACGCGGAACAGGGGATTACGGCGGCAGAGACTAGACGTGTGGGAGGATGAGATGGCATCGATGTCGGACGAGACGTTTACTGACCTGTTCCGCATAAACCGGGCCATATTAGACCTCATATGCGAAGGAATGCACCATATATTGCACCCAGTCATGCATAGGCACGCATTGCCCATCCGAGTAGCTATTTTGATCCCCATAAAATACTTCGCGAGCGCCATGGCGTACATCGATCTTGCATTCTGGTTCGGGGTCCCGAAAACGCTATGTCATAGGCTTGTTGATTTGTTTATGCAGAATTTTCCGCACGTTTTAAAAAAGGACTGGGTCCGATTTCCAACGCAGGAAGAGATGCGGGTCATGGCGGAGGAATTTAAAAGCGTGAAAGGTGTTCCAGCGGTCATTGGTGCTATTGATGGCACCCATGTCCAGATCCGGGGAATGGAAGGGCATTGATCGGAGTATTACACGCGCAAATCACAGTATGCCGTACAGCTGCAAATAACATGCGACGCTAGAGGAATTATATGGGATTATTTGATAGGCTTTCCGGGCACAGCTCATGACCAGCGTGTGTTCATACAATCCAACCTCTACAAACGACTGGAAAATGGTGACATCGCCCCATACCAGCTAGTCGGCGATGCAGCTTATCCCCTCCGCGCCTATTGCCTCACGCCATTGCACGCTCCGACTGAACGCCTCATGCTCGAGTGGCAGCAGACATTCAACTACTGCCAATCTGCAAACCGCATGTCCGTGGAGCGCACGATCGGACAGTTCAAGGGCCGGTATCGACTGTTCGCCGGCCGTCACGATTGCGCGCTCTGGCAGGTTCTTGCCGGCGCCAGTTGTGTGGTTATTCTGCACAATATGGGCATTGGGATGGCAGGGCCACGCATGAAGACCCCGAACATCAGATGGGCGGCTATTTCACTCAACCGGGACCCGTGGTGGACGCGCGGCGAACTCGCAGAGTATAATTGGGAGGCGTGTGACGTTGTCACGCCGTTCGAACTGAAGGAACGCCCTAAAAGGCTCGGAATGACACTGCATGACCAATACCTTAAGAGACGTCGTCGCGACGCCACTCCTCAACCTCGTCGCTGAGCGTGGCATTGTCGTCGTCCGGCCAAGCTCTTAGAATCCTAGGCAAGAGTTGTGTCGACTATCGAGAGGGTTGGTATAAAGGAGAAACGTAAGGGGTTGTACCCCACAGTGAGTACCCCACTAAGCCTACCCAAACTATAACATATATATACATATGTTTGACACACCCCCATAGGCAAAGTGGGGGGAACAGAGGGTCACAAGACCAGTCAGGAAGTGCAAAGCAAGCTCAGGGTGGATCACAACGTCACCACGCAGTCTGAGCACAAGCAAGAAGGCCACAAGGCCAGTTCACATGCAGAAATATATATGTAACAACAATAGTACAGTGATATCTAACTACAAGAACAAGCATGCAGGAATACATATAAATCATGGTACAAACAAAGCCTACAGCAAGTGAGGAAGCGTGGGCACAAGGCCTAACAAAGTGCAGAAACGCTGATGATCACTAGGCGGAAGTGCCTTGGTGAATATATCAGCAGTGTTGGCCCGAGTGGCCACGTAGGTAAGACGAAGCTGGCCACGCTGCTGCAGCTCTCGAGCAAGGAAGTAACGGAGAGCGATGTGCTTTGTTCTGTGCTCCAGTCTATGCTCCTGACACAAGGCAATGGCGGCCTTGTTGACGACGTACAGAACTGGAGGAGAACGAGGCCGCTCTCCCAAGTCGGTCAGCAGGTAGGTGAGCCAGCGCAGCTCCTGTGCAGCCATGGCTGTGGCGTAGATCTCTGCCTCACAGCTGGAGCCGAGAACTGAAGACGAACGTGTAGAACGCCAGGAAACTGAACCAGAACCAAGGCTGAAGGTGTAACCCTGTGACGACTGCTGCGTAGCCAAGTCGTCAACCCAAGAGGCGTCCGAGTGACCTATGAGGACAACGTCACCCCGTCCTCCAAGCACGAGCCCCATGCCCGATGTACTGCACAAGTAGTGTAGTACCCTCTTGGCAGCATCCATGTGCACCTTTCGGTGCCGACCAGGAGCCACGTAGCGAGCCAGAAGGCCAAGAGGGTACGCAAGGTCAGGACGAGTGCAAGTCATCAGGTACATGAGGCAGCCCACTAACTCTGGGTAAGGACCACTCGGCTCTACGGACTCGTCCGAAGGTGGAGCTGAGAGCGAGTGACCTGTAGCCAGAGGAGTGGCCTGTGCTGAGGACCAGGTGAAACCAAAGCGCTGAAGGACCTGCTGCACCATGTGTGACTGAGTCAGTGTGATGGTGCGGCGTGCTCTGTCCCGGGTGATCTGCAAGCCAAGGTAGTTGCGCAGCTCACCCAAGTCTGTGCACGTGTGTCTCTTCTGCAGCTCCGACATCATCAGGGCGAGAGCCTCAGTGTCAGCAGTGGCAAAGACCAAGTCGTCGACGTACACGAGAACGTAGAACGGCGGCAGCGAAGTGTCGGTGCGCAAAAACAGCGACGGGTCAGCAGTCGACGGAGCAAACCCAAGAGCCGCAAGTGTCGTCCTCAGTGTGTCGTGCCACTCACGTGGCGCCTGGCGGAGACCGTAGACCGGCCGCCGGAGGCTCCACTGGGTACCAGGAGGGAACGACCCAGTGAAGCCAGGAGGGCGGCGCAACCAAATCTCCTCGTGCAGGCTGCCCTGTTAGAAGGCTGTGCTGAAGTCAAGAGAGTGAAGCTCGTAGTCACGCTGAGCGGCAACGTGCAGCAGCACCCGAAGAGTGGTCATCTTCGGGGTGGGGGAGAAGGTATGGAAGAAGTCAACTCCCTCTCGCTAACTGAAGCCTCGAACCACGTAACGAGCCTTGAAGACAGGCGGAGAACCTGGCGGCCGCTTCACCCTGAAGATCCACATGCCACTGACAATGTTCGCCCCAGGAGGGGGAACCTCGTCGACGTAGGTGCCTGTGGACTTCCTGTCGAGACTAGAACGGGTGAAAAGATTGACTAAGGGAAACGAGATACAAGAGGATATAGCTAACCCTAGGAATATGAAATGGTACACCTAGACTAACAAAAACTAAACATATAAAATATATGTTGACACACCCCCATAGTCTAGGTGACGGCAGTCCTGTGGAAAGCAACACAAATCTCAGGGTGGGTCTCAAGGACACACACATTCTGAGAGCAAGCAAGGGTCACGTGACCGGTCAGCAAGAACAAGCAAGGGTCACAAGACCAATCCACAAGAACAAGACAAATCTCAGGGTGGAGCTCAAAGTCACCACACACTCCGAGAGCAAGCAAGAGGCCACAAGGCCAGTCCACATGCAGGTATATAGCAAATATAATGAGATGCAAGAGTACAAGACAAGCAGGACAAAGCATCTCTACGTAAGCAAGTGAGGACGGGCAGGCACAAGGCCAAGCTGGGTGCAGAAACGCTGGTGGTCACAAGGCGGCAACGCCTTGGTGAAGATATCTGCCGTGTTGGCCTCAGAGACCACGCGTCGTACGAGTGCCTGGCCACGCTGCTGCAACTCACGCAGAAGGAAGTAACGAAGCTGGATGTGCT